GCATACTCCACATACTTTAAGGACCTTTATACAGATTATGCACATACTATAGGTAGGCTATCAGTACTTTTACTGCAGTTAATACTTTTTAGGATCCTGTCTGCAGTACTGAGTCACATGCAAGGGAATAACAGCGAGTGAGAGAGTGTGTGACAGTGTGTGTGACTGTGTGTTCCCGGGCCTGAAGCATACTTGAAATACTTTAAGGACCTTTTACTGAGTATGAAAACGTACTTTTACTCAAGTACAGTAAGAGTACTTTAAAGTATAGGCAGTACTTAATGCTCTGAATACTTGTTAGGATCACTTTTACAATGAAGGTACCTGGAAGCTTTGAGTGTTTAAACACATTTGACTGTTGAGTTATTGAGATTTTAGTTTAGGAACCCCTTCAGGAGGAGAGCTGCCAGACCTCAGAGAACCAACAACACAACAAACACACAACTTCAGGAGGAGAGCTGCCAGACCTCAGAGAACCAACAACACAACAAACACACAACTTCAGGAGGAGAGCTGCCAGATTGATCAGGTCGTGTCTAGTACTGAGTCACATTCAAGTGGGAATAACAGCCTGAAAACGGGTTTAAACGGTGTGTGAGAGTGTGTGAGTGTGTAGTCCCCGACCTGCAGCATACTTCAAATACTTGAAGGACCTTTTTACAGATTATGCACATACTATGAATCACTGTGTGGTACGCTATCACACTGTACTGCAGTAGGATCCTGTCTCCAGTACTGAGTCACAGTCAAGGGGGAATAACAGCCTGAAAAAGGGTTTAAACTGTGTGTGAGAGTGTGTGTGTGTTCCCGGGCCTGCAGCAGTTACCTGTCTCTGGGGTCGATCCATGAAGTCTGCCGGGTGTTGTGGTCGATGAAGAACAGCCTCCCGTCCCAGTCCCGGGCTTCCTCCCAGCCGGCGGGCAGCGGCAGCTCCTCCCCCAGCCGTCCGGAGCTCAGCCTCGGCATCGCGACGCGCCTCGACCCGCTGCCCTGCGTCCGATCCCGGGGAGAGAAGAGGAGCCGCTCACTGCATCACTTCCAGGAATCCGGAGGGGTAAAAAAGTCCTTTCCTCCTCTGCTGCTTCTAAATCCCTCTGGAGGAACATCCACCGCGGCTCTGAGACTGTTTCGCCCCCGGAGAAAGAGTGTGTTTTTCTGTCTCACGGTGCTCGTCGGTCCTCCATGTCCTCCATACTTCATTCCTCCGTGTCCATATTCGGGAGGAGCGCATTTACATAACCGGGGAGACGCACCGAGGGCGGGCCAATAGGAAGCACTCAGAGGGGGGACTGAGTTAAAGTTATTTTAAAAGTTTACTAAGTTTTGTTTTAGGATTTACTTCAACAACCTGTGGACTCACAGCACTTTATGATTTATTTAACTTTTCACTTTTAGACTGTTTTTTTGGTGTTATAATTGGTTGTGTACTCTTTAAATGTAAAGCACTTAAACATATAGTATTATTTGTTTTTTAAATATTTTCATTAACTTTATCAAATATATTATTATTTTAACAACAACCTGTAGATTCACACATTTTATTTATTGATTTATTTAACTTTTATTGTTTTTTTGTTTGTTTTCATTGGTTGTGTACTCTTTTAATTTTGTAAACCACTTAATTGTATTGAATTCAAGTAATAAAAATAACAAAAATACCGATTATTTGGATTAATTAAATATAGAATAATTTGTATTTTTTAATCTTTCCATGAACTTTATCAAAACTATTATATTATATATTTTTAGTTGGATTTATTAATCATTTGTCTTTTATTAAGTTGACGTAATAAAAATGTCCAAAATACCAATAATTGTGTTACTTCAACAATGTTAAACAGCAACCTGTGGATTTACAAAACTTGTATTTTGTTGATTTTCTAATGTTTTGTTCACTTTTCTCTTAAGCTCTTAGGGCCCTTCTTATTTCTCTAATTTCCCCTCCTCGACTCCTCTCTCCTCGGTTCCCCTCCTCGACTCCTCTCTCCTCGGTTCCCTTCCTCTCTCCTCTCTCCTCGGTTCCCCTCCTCGACTCCTCCTCTCGCATCTCCTGTGGGCGGCACTAAGACACGAGGTTAGGAGTCGAGGAGGGGAGTTAGAGAGATGAGAAAGGCCCTTAGAGTTTGAAAACCTATGAACAACTTTTTTAACAGAACTCACACTCACACAAACACACACTCACACAAACACACACAAACACACACACACACGCACACACAAACACACACACACACAAACACACACAAACACTGCCCTAACCTCTTGGAGGGTTAGGGCAGTCCCTTTAATGGGACTCAGTATTGGAGCTCTCCTTTTGAAGATGCTTGCTAATACTTTACTTGTTATTAAATCAAACCAATACAAATGTGTTACTTCGACAATGTTACTGTTGTTTACTTTTCTCTTTCGCTCCCTTTTTTTTACTATTGTTTTTTGTAGTATTTTTGATGTATTCTTGTAAGCCATCGTTTTTAAACGATATAAAAGTTTTTGTAATTTAAAAAAAAAAAAAATGTTTAAAATACATTTTAAAATGTTTTGAAGTATTTATTCATATTTATTTATTTTAAATGTATATTATTATTTTCTGGATTCACAGATTTTTGTATTATCGTATTCTTCTTTATTTTACTTTTTCTAATCCACTGCCTCCTGGTTTTTATTCTGTCTTCTAAAGAACTTTGAAACTTATAACTATTTAAATAAAGTTGGTTATTATTATTAGTTTAAAAATATTTCCATTTAATATCAAATACATGATTATTAATAATAATATTATAACTGACATTTAACTCTTTAAAGGTAATGCTTTTTTAAATATCATTAATTAAATAAATGATCATATTTAGTTTTAATGTAACCCTTATTTAAATCCTTTCTGATGATGATAGGCTCTCTGAGCTCAGCGGCTGGACTGCAGTAATGAAAGTGGTACAACAGCGCCCTCTGCTGGAGACTCTGCAGCGCCCTCTGCTGGAGACTCTGCAGCGCCCTCTGCTGGAGACACTGCAGCGCCCTCTGCAGCGCCCTCTGCTGGAGACACTGCAGCGCCCTCTGCTGGAGACACTGCAGCGCCCTCTGCTGGAGACTCTGCAGCGCCCTCTGCTGGAGACACTGCAGCGCCCTCTGCTGGAGACACTGCAGCGCCCTCTGCTGGAGACACTGCAGCGCCCTCTGCTGGAGACACTGCAGCGCCCTCTGCTGGAGACACTGCAGCGCCCTCTGCTGGAGACACTGCAGCGCCCTCTGCTGGAGACACTGCAGCGCCCTCTGCTGGAGACTCTGCAGCGCCCTCTGCTGGAGACACTGCAGCGCCCTCTGCTGGAGACACTGCAGCGCTCTCTGCTGGAGACACTGCAGCGCCCTCTGCTGGAGACACTGCAGCGCCCTCTGCTGGAGACACTGCAGCGCCCTCTGCTGGAGACACTGCAGCACCCTCTGCTGGAGACACTGCAGCGCCCTCTGCTGGAGACACTGCAGCGCCCTCTGCTGGAGACACTGCAGCGCCCTCTGCTGGAGACACTGCAGCATTTACCGACTTCATTTCAACTCAATTAAATGCATTTTTTTTTTTTTAAATATTGAATGTTTTTAGTCAAACAAACCTAAGTGATAATAAAAGCAATAATACTGACTTACAAACCTTTTTATTTAAAATTAAATCGTTTTGAAGAGTTCTATATGTACTCCTTATTACAACTTGTGGCGTGTTGGGATCAGGGGAGCACAGGTTCAAACCCCACTGCAGTCAGCATGTCGTTGTGTCCCTGAGACACTTCACCCCAAAGTGCTCCTGTGGGGATTGCCCACAGTACTGAGTATGTGAGTCGCTTTGGATAAAAGCGTCTAACAAGTAACATGTGATGTAACTTACATACTTTTACCGTTTATCAAATCATTATTATAAAACTCATATTCTGTGTATTTGTGAAAATACTGGGCAATAAACCCCATTCTGATGTATGGTTAATAACAAAGCAGCACACTTGGTTTTGCAGCCAATACAATTAATAACTATAAGAATGATCACTGTCTTTCTGCAGCTGAGGACCTCTTTTTACTGTAACTGTTTAACGAGAAGCTTGATTTTAAATATTATATAATAATAAATTCAATTTATTTAGCGCTTCTCATCTGACAAGACAAATCCCGAAGCGCTTCACAACAGAAGACACTGATCAAATTTAATAGATAAAAAGTTAACATTTAAAGTCAGAGATAACGATAAAAATGGCAGTACTCCAGGAGTTCCATGATAAAGGTTTACTGGAAGGCCTGCCGAAAGAAGAGGGTCTAAGGCCGGTTTTGAAGACCTCTGTGGAAGGGACGGATCTGAGCTGATCTGGGAGGGAGTTCCAGAGGCGCGGGGCGAACGAGCAGAAGGCTCGGGGTGTTTCTCAATGTCGAGGAAGGATGCTCCAGAGCCACTATTTCAAGGATACTACGTCATCGAGTGTCGCAGAAGGACTGTTCCAATGTCCAGCATACTTGGAAATCTACCGAGGCCGGCGTCCTTTGTTGCCGGAAATTTGGAGGCTGCACATGTGTATCCTCCGCGATCTTAAAATCCCCACAATGCTTTGCGCACGGACCAATTTCCCAAATCTTTGGCGGAAATCGCGCTCCATTTAAGGCGGGGCCTCGCATATGACGCACACCTGTTAGCCTGTTCCACCGTTCTTCGTTTTCCGAGAATAGGAAGGATTCTTGCCTCGGAAGACATGTCCTACAAAGGAAGCGTCCTCGATATTGAGAAACACCCTCGGTCTCCCATTGTCCGGAGACGTGTGCGGGGGATGTAAAGAACAGAGCTGGAGCGGAGAGAGAGAGCCTGGGTACGGATGAGGTCACAGAGGTACTCGGGGCTTTGTGAGTCAGGAGCAGAACCCTGAACTGGATCCTGTCGTGGACCGGGAGCCCGTGGAGTTGGGCAAGTATGGGGGTTATGTGGGCGGACCTTTTTGAACGGGTTTCTCCGAAAAAGAGGACAACACTTCACATTGTTTTTGCATAAGCAGATTTTTTTATTGAATAAACAGTCCAACATCACAGAGCTGCAATCCAACAGCAGAATACAAATTAAAAATAAAAACAAAAATACAGGTAAAAATGGCGTCTGAACATCAGGTGGGTTTTTACCCGAGAGCCATTTATAAAAATATGAAATAAAATCTGTGAGCGACTTAAACTGACATTCAGCTATAATCATATATTTATATATAGCTGTTTTCTTTTCAAAGAGAGGACAACCTCAGTGTGTTTACATCAAAACTAAATGACTGACTGCTTCACTTCAAATGTAAAAAAAAAGAAAAGAAAGAAAAGTCTGAAATATTTTCAACTGGGCATGCTGGGAAAAAACAAAACTTGTATTCACATTTAGACAAAGAAACATTTGGCTCAACTGAAAAACTAAATATTTTTCACATACTTCTTTTTTTACTAACTCTCTGCAGGACTAAGCTCCTCCCCTTCTCTCTGCAGGATTTAGCCCCACCCCATCTCTCTCTGCAGGACTAAGCTCCTCCCCTTCTCTCTGCAGGATTTAGCCCCACCCCATCTCTCTCTGCAGGACTAAGCTCCTCCCCTTCTCTCTGCAGGATTTAGCCCCACCCCATCTCTCTCTGCAGGACTAAGCTCCTCCCCTTCTCTCTGCAGGATTTAGCCCCACCCCATCTCTCTCTGCAGGACTAAGCTCCTCCTCTTCTCTCTGCAGGATTTAGCCCCACCCCATCTCTCTCTCTGCAGGACTAAGCTCCTCCCCTTCTCTCTGCAGGATTTAGCCCCACCCCATCTCTCTCTGCAGGATTTAGCCCCACCCCATCTCTCTCTGCAGGACTAAGCTCCTCCCCTTCTCTCTGCAGGATTTAGCCCCACCCCATCTCTCTCTGCAGGACTAAGCTCCTCCTCTTCTCTCTGCAGGATTTAGCCCCACCCCATCTCTCTCTCTGCAGGACTAAGCTCCTCCCCTTCTCTCTGCAGGATTTAGCCCCACCCCATCTCTCTCTGCAGGACTAAGCTCCTCCTCTTCTCTCTGCAGGATTTAGCCCCACCCCATCTCTCTCTGCAGGACTAAGCTCCTCCTCTTCTCTCTGCAGGATTTAGCCCCTCCCCATCTCTCTGCAGGATTTAGCCCCACCCCATCTCTCTCTGCAGGACTAAGCTCCTCCTCCTCTCTCGGCAGGATTTAGCCCCACCCCATCTCTCTCTGCAGGACTAAGCTCCCCCCCCTTCTCTCTGCAGGAATTAGCCACACCCTTCACTCTCTGCAGGACTAAGCTCCACCCTTCTCTCTGCAGGAATTAGCCACACCCCTCTCTCTGCAGGACTAAATTCCTCCTCCTCCTCTCTCTGTAGGATTTAGCCCCTCCCTCTCACCAAGCCCCGCCCCTCTCTCCAACCCCACCCCCTACAGCCCCCTCTACTTATGGCCCTTGCTGGTCTTGAAGGACACCTGCAGGACTTTGTCTCCCAGCCGGTATCCGTTCAGGCTGTGGATGGCCATGGCCGCCTCCTCGTAGTTTGTCATGGTGACGAAGCCGAAGCCTTTGCACTTGTTGGTGTTGAAATCTCGGATCACCTTCACGTTGTTGACGGCGCCGAAAGGTCCGAACATCTGCCAGAGGATGGCCTCGTCCGCGTCCTGGCCCAGGTTGTAGATGAAGATGCACCAACCGGCGGAGGGGTTGCCCGAGACTCCGCCTCCTCCGCCACCCATGTGGTCAACGCTCATTGGAGAAAACCTGGAGGAGAACAGGAAGTGAGTTTTTTAAGGCGAGCAGGACATTGTTTAATCACGATGTGAACAAGTTTGAGATATTAAGCTACCTGACATTAGATTACTTTATTTACATGTGAGAGGTTAGCATTAGATTTAAAGGTGAGCTTTAGGGTTGTAGATGTAAACTTTAGTGTTAGAGAGGTTAGCATTAGTGTTAGAGGTTAGCATTAGTGTTAGAGAGGCTAGCATTAGGGTTAGAGAGGTTAGGGTTAGAGAAGTTAGCATCAGGGTTAGAGAGGTTAGCATTAGAGAGGTTAGCATCAGGGTTAGAGAGGTTAGCATTAGGGTTAGAGAGGTTAGCATCAGGGTTAGAGTTAGAGAGATTAGCATCAGGGTTAGAGAGGTTAGGGTTAGAGAGGTTAGCATTAGTGTTAGAGAGGTTAGCATCAGGGTTAGAGAAGTTAGCATCAGGGTTAGAGAAGTTAGCATCAGGGTTAGAGAAGTTAGCATCAGGGTTAGAGAAGTTAGCATCAGGGTTAGAGAGGTTAGCATTAGAGAGGTTAGCATCAGGGTTAGAGAGGTTAGCATTAGGGTTAGAGAGGTTAGCATCAGGGTTAGAGAGGTTAGCATTAGGGTTAGAGAGGTTAGCATCAGGGTTAGAGAGGTTAGCATCAGGGTTAGAGAAGTTAGCATCAGGGTTAGAGAGGTTAGCATTAGAGAGGTTAGCATCAGGGTTAGAGAGGTTAGCATTAGGGTTAGAGAGGTTAGCATCAGGGTTAGAGAGGTTAGCATTAGGGTTAGAGAGGTTAGCATCAGGGTTAGAGAGGTTAGCATTAGAGAGGTTAGCATCAGGGTTAGAGAGGTTAGCATCAGGATTAGAGAGGTTAGCATCAGGGTTAGAGAGGTTAGCATCAGGGTTAGAGAGGTTAGCATCAGGGTTAGAGAGGTTAGCATCAGGGTTAGAGAGGTTAGCATCAGGGTTAGAGAGGTTAGCATCAGGGTTAGAGAGGTTAGCATCAGGGTTAGAGAGGTTAGCATCAGGGTTAGAGAGGTTAGCATTAGTGTTAGAGGTTAGCATTAGTGTTAGAGGTTAGCATTAGTGTTAGAGGTTAGCATCAGGGTTAGAGAGGTTAGCATTAGTGTTAGAGAGGTTAGCATCAGTGTTAGAGGTTAGCATCAGGGTTAGAGTGGTTAGCATTAGTGTTAGAGAGGCTAGCATTAGTGTTAGAGAGGCTAGCATTAGTGTTAGAGAGGTTAGCATTAGTGTTAGAGAGGTTAGCATCAGGGTTAGAGAGGTTAGCATCAGGGTTAGAGTGGTTAGCATTAGTGTTAGAGAGGTTAGCATCAGGGTTAGAGAGGTTAGCATCAGGGTTAGAGAGGTTAGCATCAGGGTTAGAGAGGTTAGCATCAGGGTTAGAGAGGTTAGCATTAGGGTTAGAGAGGTTAGGGTTAGGGTCAGAGAATAACTGACAGACAGGTTCCCTTTACATTCAGAGCTAAAGCTAGCTCCTCAGTAATCTGATTACATTGATTCACTGTCTACCTGAATCTCTGCTGCTGGTGATGCACCGGCCCTCCGAAGCGCCGTGATTGGCCGTGGTACATCTGTGACATCATCTGGGAGTTCCTGGCCTGATTGGGGTTGGCAGCGAACTTGACTGTGATTGGCTCAGAGGTGCCGGGCGGCGTGTGGCCGTTCAGGTGTTTGACGGCGTCCTCGGCCTCCGACCTCTTATCGAATCGGATGAATGCGACTCCCCGAGACAAACCTGGACAGCCAATCAGAGCAGAGGTGAGTGAGGGTGGTCACGTGACTGGGAAATACAGTCTTAATACTTTTAAAGATGAGATATTTACTCTTTTTGAACGATAATTCGTAATTGGGAGTATAGTACTAGGAGCCACAGCTATTGTACAGCACCCGGGGAGCAATTGGAGTGAGGGGGGTGTCCGGTGCCTTGCTCAAGAGCACCACCAGGAGGTGAACTGGGACCTCTCCAAGTAGCAGTCCACACTCCATATTTTAGGTCTGGTCGGGGGCTTGAACCGGCAACCCTACAGCTCCCAGTCCAAGCCCCTACTGACTGAGCCACTGCCGGAGTCAATATCTTTGGACATTTAAACACATTTGACAATCGTGTGCACATTTTCTGACATTTTTCTTTTACTGCTCCAATAAATCAACTTGTCATTTAAACTTGATAGAAAAATACTATAAACTGGACAGTGGAAACTATTTTCACAACAAATCATTAATATTTCATGCAAAAATCCTTTAAAATGCTGTTTTCTCAAATATATAACAAATGCTGTATTTGTTTTGCTCTTTGGGTTTCAGACGAACAAAACAAGACATTTAAAGACAGACTTGAACTTTGAGAAGCTAATATGGACCGTTTCACTATTTCCTGACTTATTCAACCATTTTTGGGCCTATTTTCTGGCTTTTTTCATACACAGCAACACTAATTCAAATGATTCATATGATGGTCAACAGTAGAATAATATTCATCAATTTGGTTAATGTCTTGAAAACAGAGTCAATATCTTTGGGTTTTAGAATGACGAGACATCTTTCCCCATTTTCCATCTTTTTTGGCTACATTTCTGAAATGTTTCTAGGGTTAGGTTTCCAATAGGATAGGCTCTAGCCACTTTCACACCAAGCACTTAGTACCCCCATGGCACTAAGTACAGATCGCGTTCACACCGGAATAATTTCCCTGGGGGTGGATTAGGCAAATGATGCCGCTGACGTCACTTCTTCTTCTTCTGCTTTGGGTTTACTGGCAGGCCGCAAACAACTTCACGGCGTATACTGCCACCCGAAGTCGGGGACTGGCTTCAGTAGAAGCTGCTGGGACTCCCAGCAGCTTCTACTGAAGCCTTCCGAGTAAATCGCCAGAACGCCGACACCTCCTCATCTCCAGCGTTCCCATGTTTTATTTTGTGTTGCCATAAGTTAGTCTCTCTGCGTTGGTGCCAGGGTTTCCGCTAGGATTTTTTCTCGCCGGGCAAATGTCCGGACAGAATTTACTTTACCGGACAAATTTGAAACTTACCGGTCATGTTTCATTAATAATAATAATAAGAATTGTGTAGCAGAGTTTCCGTTAGCAGGTAATTACCGGACTAGGACCGGATATGCTGATGTTTAAAACTCAGTTAATGGGAGTCTCTCTAGCAGGCACTAAAAATGGGGGTAAAAGTTCCCGGCACTAAGTTCTTTTTTTGGTGTGAACGCGACATAAGAGGTACTAACGGAACCAAACGGGAAAAGTACTCCGGTGTGAACGCGCTTTATGACTGCAATGATGGACATTTTACAGTCTTTTGGGGCTTAATATCGGACATTTCTCACAGTAAGGGTTACGATAGGATAGGTTATGACTGCTATGATAAGTCAACTTATTGAGTGGTTGGCTAGGATGGACATTTTCACAATTTTCAGTGTTTTTGACAATATTGGGCTTAATTTCTGACATATTTCTAGGGTTAGGGTTATGATATGATAGCAGTCATTACCAATCATAACCTATGATAAGTTAATTTATCGATTTGAGAGGCTAGGATGGACATTTCTCCATTGAATGCACTAAACTAAGATTATTAACGGTGGTTATTACCGGAGGCTTGGTCCACGAGCACCCTGGAGTTGATGATGTGTCCGAAGCGGCTGAACATGTCCTCCAGGTCGGGCTGACTCAGCGTCCTCGGCAGCCCGCTGATGTAAAGGTTTGCGTCTTTAATCGTGTCTGAACTCGGCCGGGCGAAGGAAACCTGCAGAGGAGACAGGAAGCATCTCAGCGTGCCGCATTCACAAACTCACTCAAATCAAAAATAATCAACATTTTACCAAATTAAATATACAGTTACATCCATCTTAAAAAAACATTTTTTAAAAACAAACAGATATTTTTTAATTGGTGTTTAAATATTCAATGTGAAAAAATTGAAATATTAAAAAAAAATCCCAAATTAAATACAAAAACAAAAAAGCATCCAGGTTGTTCAAAATAAAAGCATTAATTTATGAAAATGAAAGTCTGGCACATTGTCACTCTGAACTGAAGAAACTCACAGATTCAGTGTCAACATGTGTCCATAACAAAAAAAACAACAAAAAAAACAATGACATCAGTGTTTTCAAAAATACCTTCATCCGTCATACAGTGGAGAGCGCCCTCTAGTGTCCGGGAACATAACACATCGTTCAGGTGAGACAGAAAATCAAAGAGCTCCTGGGATCTTTACCTTGATAGTTTTAGACTGTAGCCTCAGGCCATTGAGCGTACTGATAGCCCTCTCTGCATCATTAGCGTTAACAAAGTTAACAAAGCCGTAACCTAAACTGTGGCCTAGAGAAACACAAAGGAAAACAACAAAATAAAATAATAAAACTGTCTGCGTTTCAGCCGCCACACTCTGGATATTCACAAAACGACAATAAAAGAAACTGTGAAAAAAAGTACAGGTTTTGAAAAAGTAAGAACATTAAAATCTTCTAAATAAACAGAGAAAACTTCAAACACTGAATATTTCCTCAGAGTGAGACCTCCCCTCGTTAAGAGCGACCAATCACAGCGCTGCGGATCTTTGTGTCAATAAAGGTTAAAATTAGGGCTGTCAAGTTACCGCGTTAACAACGCGTTAACGCAAAAAAAAAATAACGCCACTAATTATTTTAACGCGATTAACGCATGTGTATTTTTTTTTCCTCGGCCGCCCCGTAGTTTCAGAGCGCATTGAGTTTAAAATACCATCTACAAGCTGATGCTGACAGCCCCGCTCCTGCCGCCCGCTTGTGGCAGACCACACTTCCACGCTCACCGGCAGGCACCGACTGGCTGTTGGGAGGACCGGGAGGGTGTGTGTATGTGTGGCCCGAGCGAGCGAGAGAGAGAGACCTTACGTGCATTGTTGTTGTTAGCATCTGGTGCTAGCTAGCTGCGCTAACGGATATGGAGCTGTTTAAATGAAAACAGAGGAGCGACATTTCGCCACAACTGCGCCGAGCACTTGACTTTATGCAGGAAGCCAGACAGTGGGACATTGTACGAAAAGTCAGCACACTCAGCGCGCAACATGATTGCAGCGTCCAGGCAGCTCCCGTTCGAGCATATGCCTTGAGTTGCACATAGAACACACACACACACACACACACACACACACACACACACACACACACACACACACACACACACACACACACACACACACACACACACACACACACACACACACACACACACACACACACACACAGTATTGTATGAGAGAGGTTCCAGGTTGTTGTGTTTAATATTCATGAGAATATTTGTCATTGTTCAAATGATAATAAACATTAGAATATTTGTCCACTCATATGTTGATAAGAGTATTAAAAACTTGAAAAATATTCCTCTCAGGTACATTTAGAACAGATACAAAATGTGCGATTAATCGCGATTAAATATTTTAATCGACTGACAGCCCTAGTTAAAATACAACGATGATTGGACTTCATTTACAAAAACGCTAGGGGTGCGGCTCATGGATGATAAGAACTGGATACAGCGTGGGAGGCGGGGTCTCGTTCTTTCCTATGAGAGCTGCTCACTGACGCATGAGGACAAAATGGCCCGACTTTTGAGAGAGCGAAACGTCACAGATTACCCAGCATGCCTGGCTGTCAGAGCAGAAGAACCCGTATGTGCCCCTTAAGACCCGCCCCCTCTCGGCTCAGTAGAATGAATGGAGAGAGAAATAAATCTAGATTCGGCTTTTAGTGCATTTTACAACTTTAAGGACCGAATTATTATAATAAGGGATATAACAAAGTTCATACTGGGTAGTTTATTTAGTTTTTAGAAAATGATCCTCTGATTTACAGGCGTCTCTTTCTCCATGTTAGTCAATGGGGAAAAGTATTTTTGGGCCGGGTGACGTCACGGACTGATACGGAAGTTGCAATACCGCCGTTTGGACACGACGGATATTGGGCACAGAGTCCGGCGCACTTCCTGGGGGCTTGGGTGCAATATGCGATTCTTTTGACTAATATTCCAGTTACCATATAATTCGTGATATCAGAGGTAATGACCTTTGAACAGGAGCACTCACTCCGAGGAAAATCTCGGTGCATAAATCTAATGATAAGTTTCCTCTACTTATTCAGAATAAAAAAAGATCAGGACATTCATTGTTTAGGGTTTACAGACATTTGCAAAGCCTGAAAAATAAAAAACAGGTGAAAACATAATTCAAACATTTCAGTTAAAATAATAAAAACAGACATTATGGGCTGGGCGTTATGATAAGAAAACCTGTTATGTCACAGAGTATTGATCCACATATTGCCCAGCCCTGATTAGCACCCTCAGATACCTGACAAACACTGTTGTTATTCAACCTGGTGTGAAAAGTAAAAAAAACATTACAACAGTGCAGGAAAAAAATATTCAGATTAATAAAAACAAAAAAATATTACAGCATTGTCTTTCAAAAATTACAATGAGATTGTATTAAAAACAAAACGTTTAAAAATCATCAATAAACATCAAAAAAGAAGAAAAGAAAATTCAAAACCGGAAAGAAAAGAGTACACAGGAAATACTCAAGATATTACTTCAACTAGAATTACTGCTGATAATACTACTAAATCTACAAAGCAGTACCAGGAAGTAGCATTCACCTAATTATAACTTGTTATAAAAGTACAATAAATCAGAACTGAAGCCCTTGAAATAGTCAAAGTCAAACCTTATCTCAGTTCTGCAGTAGCATCATTACAAATACTCATGAGTAATATCGAGTGGTGCAGGAATGAGTCTTAAACCCCTGACATTTCCTCACTTCCTGTTCTCTGGTCAATGGGTTTTCTCAATATGTTTTTGGTTGTCATCCTGAAATAAGGTCTGTGGTTAACACAAGCTGAAGAGATTTTAACGTTCTGTTCTACGACATAAAATACGTCAGTAAATACCCCACTGGTGAAAAACGGAGGTTGCTAACAAGTGTCTAAATGAGACGACTGAACGCCATCACGGCCAACATTAGCCTCCTTTAGCTTAGCGGTGGAGACGTGAAGTCATGTGACCGTGCTGTAGTTCCTTTATAGCCCAACATTAGCCTCCTTTAGCTTAGCGGTGGTGACGTGAAGTCATGTGACCGTGCTGTAGTTCCTCTATAGCCCAACATTAGCCACCTTTAGCTTAGCTGTGGTGACGTGAAGTCATGTAACCGTGCTGTAGTTCCTTTATAGCCCAACATTAGCCACCTTTAGCTTAGCGGTGGTGACGTGAAGTCATGTGACCGTGCTGTAGTTCCTTTATAGCCCAACATTAGCCTCCTTTAGCTTAGCGGTGGTGACGTGAAGTCATGTGACCGTGCTGTAGTTCCTTTATAGCCCCACATTAGCCACCTTTAGCTTAGCGGTGGTGACGTGAAGTCATGTGACCGTGCTGTAGTTCCTTTATAGCCCAACATTAGCCTCCTTTAGCTTAGCGGTGGAGACGTGAAGTCATGTGACCGTGCTGTAGTTACTTTATAGCCCAACATTAGCCACCTTTAGCTTAGCGGTGATGACGTGAAGTCATGTGACCGTGCTGTAGTTCCTTTATAGCCCAACATTAGCCACCTTTAGCTTAGCGGTGGTGACGTGAAGTCATGTGACCGTGCTGTAGTTCCTTTATAGCCCAACATTAGCCGCCTTTAGCTTAGCGGTGGTGACGTGAAGTCATGTGACCGTGCTGTAGTTCCTTTATAGCCCAACATTAGCCACCTTTAGCTTAGCGGTGGTGACGTGAAGTCATGTGACCGTGCTGTAGTTCCTTTATAGCCCAACATTAGCCGCCTTTAGCTTAGCGGTGGTGACGTGAAATCATGTGACCGTGCTGTAGTTCCTTTATAACCCAACATTAGCCTCCTTTAGCTTAGTGGTGGTGACGTGAAGTCATGTGACCGTGCTGTAGTTCCTTTATAGCCCAACATTAGCTTTTTACTTCAGAAATCATTAAGTGGTGTTAACATGTGGAGATTATCCTGCTGAACTAAAAGTACGTTTGTTTGACAGAGATTATTTTCTGACATATAATCCAAAATCACATGGAGATCCCATTGGACCAGGGAGATGCTGCCTTCAGGGACCAACACAGAAATACCTCATCCGTGCACCACTCTTTCATTGTACAATTGTAGTGTAAATGTAGTAAATGTGTTTTATGAGACGTACTGTCAGGGTTACCTGCCACTTTGTCTCGGATCAGTTTGGCAGACTCTACGTCTCCCACGCTGCTGAACAGGCTGCGCAGCTCGTCCTGACTCATGCTCTGCGGCAGGTAGTTCACAATCAGGTTCGTCTTCGAGTCGTCGTCCTCCATCATCTGCTCGCTGTAGCCGTTATCATACAGCTCCTGAGACACACACACAATGTTATCATGTCTGGTAGTGTTGGTCTAGACTCTAGAAAGACTGACACACATCGCTAAGGGCAAGCGGAGGAAGGACTTTGTTCAGATGAGGGATGGGAACTGCCTCTGAAAGGAAACTGTGAAATTATTTTTGTTTCATTTGATTTGTAGGTCTATGCTTTTAATACTGGTGCAAGTTGAGGGTGTGTGTATGCGTGTATGCGTCAGTGATGTACATGGTTTTTGTTAATAAGAAAATACAAATAAACATATTGTGAAGAAAAAACAATATTATCATATACACACATGTTGGTATAGTGTTCCTTAAAAAGGTGACTGCACATGTGATAGTGAATACAGTTCAGCCAATCAGAAGCCAGCACTCACCTTTCCAGCTCCTCCTTTCGGGATGTGCTGACCGTCTCTGATGTCACTCTGAGACGACTGCACCTCACACACCTTAAACACAGATAAGTTTAATACACAACACACACCTCAAGGACACACACTTCTACCTGATTGATGGACTTACCTTCAGGTACCGGATGTGTCCTCGTCTTAGGGCCATGGAGATGACTCAGGTGATCACTGCGTTAAGAGGGGATCATTTAAGATCATTTGCCAGACTTCTTTTTACATTTTATAACATTATTATACTAATATTTGCAACAATGAAAAAGGAACCCAAAAAGCAAAAGATAGATGTCACAACACCGTGTTACATGAAGTACTGAGTGATTACATATACAGTATGTTTAGCATTTAGTATTGTATTTGGTCAATGTGGAGCCAATTTAAAACTTCAAATACTGTGTAGAGTAAATTCACAAGCTACCCAGTAGGGCCTGGCATCTGCAGGCAGTGGCAAGTACTTCCGGCATACGCCACAGATGCCACAACTTGCCGAGGCATCTGCCGCTGCTCAACGGGAGTTGCCACAAGATGCCAGAGTAAGAGAAGGTGTACTGTAGCTGCCACTCGCCTTCCGTGGCAAACGCTGCTATTTAAACCCGTATTTATCGTGTAAAATGACGCTGTTTAGGCACGACTTTATCGAACTGATCTACACAGGACTGATGATCTGTGCACAGGACTGATGTGCGATCTCTATTTTTCAAAAAGATTAAACATTATCATTTCTATTCAATTTTACTTGGAGAATGGTTTGCTAAAATAAACAAACGTGCTATATTTATGATGAAATATTGGCGAGTGCAACGCCCTTGGCAATTGTCGCTTCTTGAGGGGAGTTTCCACTGCTTGCTACGATAAACCAGGTGTATGATGACTAGACAAATAATTAACAAATAAATACATGTATGGACACAGCAACGTGTGCACTGGTGTTATTAGACTTGGCTACAGACTTAGGGCAGCTGTAACTGATTGCCGTTGCCACTGCTACTGAGATGCTAAGGTTTACTTTATAAATTAGGCAAAGGACTTATATTTGCCGCATGCCTTCAGCGGCAGCAGGCCATTCACTTTCATTTGATCATTTGTCATCATTTCGACAATAAAGAAATGCTACATAAACGTTATCTTGCACGTTTTATCGAACCATCTCCGTTTCTAACTTTCAATATTTAAAACGAGATCTCTCTCATCTGCGTGCGGGGGCGGGGCCTCAGACATGCTGCTGCGCTGTGCACACAGTTCTGCCGCTAATGAATATTAGGAAACATTTTGTGAGGAAACTTTTCCACCAATAATTCCAATAAGTATTCAAAAAGTATTCACTTCAGGTTTACCAAAGCAACTGTAATCAGATTAGTTGCTTTTCACATGTAACTAGGGATGCACGATATTGGTTTTTTGAAACCGATACCGATAACTTCCTGCTTCTCAAGACCGATACCGATAATAATATAATATATATATCAAATGTACCTGTAGTTTTTGCACACCTGGTGGTAAAACAAAGACTAGTCGTGAGCAGATGACATGAGCGTTACTACTATGAACTAAACAAAGCCAGCAACAGTTTGGACTCTTCAAAGTGACCATATTTATTTTCCCAAATAAAGTGCCTTTTCCAAAAGCCTCGTGGATAGGTAAAAGCCCCGGTGCCTTTGCAGCTGGCTTTGGATGCGCCGCTAGTTTAGCAGCGCAGGCGTCTTCGTACGCTTTTAACACACCGTCGTAGCGATGGCGATGTTTCAGGTGACTAATCAGGTTGGAAGTATTATAGCTCGTTGCCTTTCTCCCTCCTCGTGGAACTTCTGCATTGTAGTGCTGTAGTGACACGTCGACTTCAAAATCTCGTCGACGACAGATTTCCTCGTCGACGCATCGCCACACACACGTGGGTCGCCCAAAGCAACAAGCAGTTCGCAATCGCACTTCAAACACAATGGAGACTGAAACGGCTACCACCTCCTCCTCACAGGATTGCGCACGAAGCCCCTCAAACGAAAACATCTCGCCCGAGGTCTTCAAAAGCATGGGAATATTTTAAATGTAGTCCAAAACGCAAAGGCATTGTTACTTGCAGTCTTTGCCAAATGGAGTTGGCATACCACACTAGCTATGTTGGAGCATTTAAAGCGGAGGCACCCCCTTGTCTCTCGTGAAGCGAACAATGACAAGTAAGTACTAACTTTGGCTAAATTAATTCCACGTTTGTGTAGTGTGTTGTGCAGCTTGAGTTCTGTGCACTTCGGTAGTGCTAACTATCTTACAGCTCTCCGTGCGGTTTGTTTGTGCTTGGTTGGTTAGTAGTTAATGTTAGCTACCTAGCTAGCGGCGCCAGCTGTGTGTTAGTTAACGTTTGTCAGCATTTAATGTTGGCTGGAATGGTAGCTAGTTTACGTCTGCAGTACACCGCTATCTAGCCGCTATCTAGCCGCTACTAACCCGGAACGAACTAACCGCACCGAGAGCTAACTCATGTTGTGGTCCTTTACGAGTCAAACATAACATTAGACTAACGTTAGTCAGCTTATGGCGCGTTTCCACTGCAGCGGGTAGCTCGCTTTAAGCGTGCCGAGCCGTGCGGGGCCCGTTTTAGGTTGCGCTTCCACTTGGCCTAGTTTTGGCCCGGGGCTACTTTTTCACCTTTTTTCTGGCCCGACTAAATCGTGGTTCTAGGGCCAGGAACAACCAGACTGAGTCGGGCTGAGTATGCTAAACTAGAGAGAGAATCGCTGGCAAGGGGCTACAACTACAACAAGATGAACATATTTGACCGTGATTTAATTGTAATCCACGTTTCAAAATGATGCCGAAGTAACAACACACTGATACCGGTTAGTAAGAACCATGAATTAATGCTTTGACAAGTCTGCAGACAGACGGCAGAGAAACACCCTTTAGAATGCGTGTTTTCTAAATGTAGCTTGGCTAAGCTAACGTTATATATGCTCCGACCGTCCACACTCACAACAACGGCCTATACAGACATAAATAAACCAGCGACTGTATTCGCCATGACACAGGCAGTCTGTGGTTTGTACTTGTTTAACTTCTGTCAAGTTTCTGAACAGATATGAGGAGCTGTGAGCTCTGAGTGCTAACAGCTAACGGCTGTGTTGTGTTTTGGGGCGCTCATTGAACAAAAAAAACTATTATTAAGAATTTTTTGGTATTTATTTGAGATACGTTACGTTTTTTTATGAATCGAACAACAGAAAAATAATCGTTAGATTAGTCGACTAATCGATAAAATAATCGCCCGATTTCAAAATAATCGTTTCCCCCCAGCACTACTGCATTGCATTTGTTAATACAAATAGCAAGCGAACTATCTAACTCTGAAACTTTGAAATAGCCCCATACTACCGACGACAGTGTTTACTGTCCTGGCTTCACGGCCGCACACCATTTACGTCACAGCCAGGCACGAGTTAGGGAGCGCTGGATTTGTGAAAAACTCCCCTCTTCCTAAACCACTAATACCACAGTACTGGCAAACCGGGAGGAGCCGAGTGAAAAACAAGCGCCCCTCATCCAAATCCACCGCAGTATTTTTCTTCTTTTTTTTACCCAAAAAAATATATTGTATATTATCGGGGCTATTAATACTTTAATCGGGTTTATCGGGATGACGTCATAATTCCTAATATCGAACCGATAATTATCGTGCACCACTAAATGTAACGCGAGCTGAATATAATTAGGCTACTTGATTTTTGTATTCTGATTACGTAACGCCGTTACATGTATTCCGTTACAACCCAACCCTGTGCACAGATCATCAGTCCTGTGTACAGATCAGTTCGATAAAGTCATGCCTAAACAGCGTCATTTTACACGATAAATACGGGTTTAAATAGCAGCATTTGCCACGGAAGGCGAGTGGCAGCTACAGTAAACCTTCTCTTACTCTGGCATCTTGTGGCAACTCCCGTTGAGCAGCGGCAGATGCCTCGGCAAGTTGTGGCATCTGTGGCATATGCCGGAAGTACTTGCCACAGATACCACAGAGTAGCGGCCTCTGTGGCATATGCCGGAAGTACTTGCCACTGCCTGCAGATGCCACGAAATGCGCTTGCTGTCTCTCAGCTACCCTGCAGCCTACAAAGCCATTCAAACTAGCTGCACCTTCACCAGCTTTGAGAACACTTTCATGATCAATCATTATAAAACATATCATATATATTATTCTGAGATGGACCAATCTGCACAACGACTACTTTTACTGTCTTTCACTATATTTAGATGAGAATACTTTTCTACTTTCACTTGAGGAACATTTTGAATGCAGGACTTTTACTGAAACAGAGTATTCCTACACTCTGGTACTTCTACTTTTACTCAAGTACAAGACATGAGTACTTCTACTTTTACTCAAGTACAAGACATGAGTACTTCTACTTTTACTCAAGTACAAGATCTGAGTACTTCTACTTTTACTCAAGTACAAGATCTGAGTACTTCTACTTTTACTCCAGTACAAGATCTGAGTACTTCTACTTTTACTCAAGTACACGATCTGAGTACTTCTACTTCTAGTCAAGTACAAGAACTGAGTACTTCTACTTTTACTCAAGTACACGATCTGAGTACTTCTACTTCTAGTCAAGTACAAGAACTGAGTACTTCTACTTCTAGTCAAGTACAAGAACTGAGTACTTCTCTCACCGCTGATGTGTTTTACCGCTAAGAGCCAGGGCATGCGTGTGGTCATGTTATGGTTAGTATGGTTTTAAACAGCAGTGTGTAAACGGTTGTTAGCGTTATTTTGTATTTAAAACTCATGTCAAATGTACCAAACGGAGCTAACGGCACTTTTTTTACACAAGCTACTCATAGTATCTACACACGTTTCCATTTTCCATAACAATACTGCGTATATTCTATTATCCTGAGTACTTTGCAATAATAATCTTAACATATAACATCTTGTTTTTCTTATTTTGTTTCTTCTTAAACTGTGTTTATGTTTAAACCTGCCTAGCAACCAATCTGATTTCTGATGTCTTTCTTTCTAACGGCTAACCGCTAACAGTTAGCCACATGTTAGCTCCGCGGCCGCCCTTACAAAAAAGCTCCGCAGCTTCACGCGGGCAGCTAACTGCTAACACGCATTATATTTCTTACCTGTAGATGTTTCGTGCAGGTGAGACACCGTCTGTTAGGTTGATTCACGAAGGATGAGCTGCTGCTGTGAGGCGGTAAAAACGACAGATTAGCTTCTTAGCTCCTTTCCGCTCCAACAAAGAAAACAAACTCACGTTGAAGGAGGTATCGCGATACTTCCTCTTCTTCTCTTTGGTGTCACGGGAGAATATCGCCACCTGCTGTTTTGTTGTGCTTTGTATTTTACAGTAAAGAAAGTAGGTTACAAACAAGGACAACAAAACAACAACTCGAAATTATCTGTAGTATTCCTTTTTATGCTGGACTACTAAAGATACATGTTTTATATTTGGGGAATGTTATTTAATACAAATAGTGTATTCTGCAAATGATTTACACAATTCTGATTTTGTCTTTATTTTAATAAGAGATATAATAGTGGGATATATGGCAAATTTGACGATAACTCTCAGATATACAACATATATATATATATATTGTTAATGTGGTAATAATACATTATTTCTTTGCAAAAATATAGTTTATTGTGAATTATTCACATCAATGTTTGAATACGCATTCACTGCAGGACTAACTCTGTTTTCTGTAAATGTTATTGTCTGTCTAATGTGGATTCTTCTACAGCACTAACATTCTTTTTTTGTGTATTTTATTGTGTGTGTAATGTTTTTTTCTATTGCAGGTTATTTTAATATATTTTACAGTGTGTAATGGTTATGTTCCCATGGCAGAACTACAATTATTTTTTTATATTCCACAGTATGTATTCCACAAAAATAGCTTCTGACAAGGGACGTGTCTCTATTCTTGTTTTGCTCGATCTCAGTGCTGCATTTGATACTATCGACCATGATATCTTATTGCAAAGACTAGAGCACTTAGTTGGCATACAGGGAACTGCTTTAGACTGGTTTAGGTCCTATCTATCTGAACGCTCTCAGTTTGTACGTGTCAACGATGAATCTTCCACGCAAACCAAAGTTAGCCATGGAGTGCCACAGGGCTCAGTGCTCGGACCTATTTTGTTCACATTATATATGCTTCCGTTAGGCAATATTATAAGGAATCATTCTGTAAACTTTCATTGTTATGCGGATGATACTCAACTATATTTATCAATCAAGCCTGATGAAATTAATCATCTAAATAAAATTCAAGACTGCCTCAAGGACTTAAAAACGTGGATGACCTTAAACTTTTTGATGTTAAACACGACCAAAACTGAAGTTATTGTACTTGTCCCGAAGAATCTACGAAACAAATTATCTAAAGATATATTAACTATGGATGGCATTAATTTGGCCTCCAGTGAGACTGTAAGGAATCTTGGTGTTATATTTGATCAGGATTTATCCTTTAACGCCCACATAACATCAATTTCAAGGACCACCTACTTCCATCTACGTAACATTGCAAAAATCAGGCATATCTTGCCTCAAAACGATGCAGAGAAACTAGTCCATGCATTTATTACTTCAAGGCTGGATTATTGTAACTCTTTATTATCAGGGTGTACCAAGAAGTCAGTCAAGTGGCTTCAGCTGATTCAAAATGCTGCGGCTCGTGTACTAACCAGAGTTAGGAAAAGGGACCACATTACTCCTGTTCTGGCTGCCTTACACTGGCTCCCTATAGAACACAGGATAGAATTTAAAATTATTCTTCTCGCCTACAAAGCCCTTAATGGGCAGGCGCCATCTTACCTTAAAGAACTCATTATACCCTACTGTCCTACTAGGGCATTGCGTTCCAAGAATGCAGGGTTGTTGGTTGTTCCTAGAGTCTCTAAAAGTACAATAGGAGCCAGAGCCTTTCTTATCAAGCTCCACATTTGTGGAATCAGCTTCCAGTTTGTGTTCGGGCGGCAGACACCCTATCCGTTTTTAAGAGTGCGCTTAAGACCTTCCTTTTTGATAAAGCTTATAGTTAGGGCTGATTAGATTCAGCCCCTAGTTTTGCTGATATAGGCTTAGTTTGTCGGGGGACATCTTACTTCTTCCTTCTCTCTGTCTATACCTGTGTACTCTCATGTTCCGATTAACCCAGCTTCCCCAAATGTCTTTCTTTTTGGTGTCTATATACGCCGGGATCCGGAGTCATGGATGATCCTGCGGTCCTGTGTCCTGGATCGCGAGCCCTGGATCTTGAGTCGTGGCTGTGGTCCTGGATCATAGGTCCTGGATGGATATCCTCGTGGATTCATCTTCCTATTATACACACATGCATTTCCAAACATTTGGACTACCTATGTTGCAAATGTATTATCTTTTCAATTTACACACGGCATCTATTGCACGTCTGTCCGTCCCTGGGAGAGGGATCCCTCCTCTGTTGCTCTCCCTGAGGTTTCTCCCATGTTCCCTTTAAACTGTGGGTTTTCTTCGGAAGTTTTTCCTTGTACGATGAGGGTAAAGGACAGAGGGTCTAAGGACAGAGGGTCTAAGGACAGAGGGTCTAAGGACAGAGGGTCTGAGGACAGAGGGTCTAAGGACAGAGGGTGTCGTATTGTCATACTGATATTTTGTACAAACTGTAAAGTCCACTGAGACAAATGTAACATTTGTGATATTGGGCTATATAAATAAACATTGATTGATTGATTGATGTCATTTAGTTTTTCTTCAGGACTAATATTATTTTAAATATATTTTATTGATTTTTTTCATAGGTTTTTTTCCTCTTCAGGACTAACATTTAGTGTATATATTCCAAAGTGAATTTATATAAAAACGGTCTCTGGTGAAATGTGATACACTGTGTGTGACGTCACAGCGTCGCCTCGCTGCATGTAAACAAAGCGCCGCGGCTGCTGCGGTTCTGATGGAGACAAACTGAGAGGAATCGGAGAGAATAGTGGATGAAGTTCGTTCTTTTTGACCCGGAGCCGATGGCAGTGTAATGGCAGTGAGATCAGACTGAACCAGAACCAGAACCAGCAACATGTCTATGGAAGACCCGTTCTTCGTCGTCAAAGGGTCAGAACCGAGCTAATGCTAATGCTAACAGCAGGGTAGCTTCTAGTTTGACCATGTAGACAGAGGAGAGCTGATCAATGATCGATTAAAACAGCAGGTTATTAACAGGGAATAACAGCAGGCTAACTGCTAAGCTAATGTTAGCTCCCAGTGTGTTGTGAGTGAGTTAGCATGTTGCTATGATGTTAGCACTGAGTTACAGTCAGTGTTCAGGGTCACAGTTTTGTCCGTTAATTACAGAGATAATATTCCTGAATAACAGTAGAAACTCTCTGGAAGAGGACCTGCATTCAAAATGTCCCTTCAGTAAAAGTACTGAGTATTTTCAGCAAGTAAACGTAGTGTTACTCGTTATGTTACTACTATGTGTATATTATTGTTGATGTCTGTCTATTTAGAAAACACTACCATCTCACCATAATTACAGAATGTTATATTATTCTGTTTTCAACACTAGCGAATACATATGAGAGCATTTTAATATTGCACTTTACTGATTAAGATAGAATTGTAAACATTGTACAGTTATGGATACATTATTATTCCTACATGATATACTATGTGTATATCAAATTAGTTTGTAATGTATAAAGTTACCAGTAATGTAAACTGCAGTAGAAGTATACAGTAGCAGAAAACTGAAATTCCTCAAGTACAAGTCCCTCGAAATGAATGTCCTTCATTTACCTGCTGTCTAATTATCAATATATAACATTCAAAGTTCAGTGAAATAAAAAACTAGATGCCTATTTCAGGCACGACAGGCTTAGTCAGCCAATAGGACCGATAGCTTTAGGGCTAACGAAGATAACTAGCTAACTACTTCTGTCATGCAGAAGGCAGTGAACGCCTCACAGATGTGTTATGTTTGTTACAGGGAGGTTCAGAAGGAAGTGAACGCATCACAGATGTTATGTTAGTTACAGGGAGGTTCAGAAGGCAGTGAACGCATCACTGATGTGTTATGTTAGTTACAGGGAGGTTCAGAAGGCAGTGAACGCATCACAGATGTTATGTTTGTTACAGGGAGGTTCAGAAGGCAGTGAACGCATCACTGATGTGTTATGTTTGTTACAGGGAGGTTCAGAAGGCAGTGAACGCATCACAGATGTTATGTTTGTTACAGGGAGGTTCAGAAGGCAGTGAACGCATCACTGATGTGTTATGTTTGTTACAGGGAGGTTCAGAAGGCAGTGAACGCATCACAGATGTTATGTTTGTTACAGGGAGGTTCAGAAGGCAGTGAACGCATCACAGATGTTATGTTTGTTACAGGGAGGTTCAGAAGGCAGTGAACGCATCACAGATGTTATGTTTGTTACAGGGAGGTTCAGAAGGCAGTGAACGCATCACTGATGTTATGTTTGTTACAGGGAGGTTCAGAAGGCACTGAACGCATCACTGATGTGTTATGTTTGTTACAGGGAGGTTCAGAAGGCAGTGAACGCATCACTGATGTGTTATGTTTGTTACAGGGAGGTTCAGAAGGAAGTGAACGCATCACAGATGTTATGTTTGTTACAGGGAGGTTCAGAAGGCAGTGAACGCATCACAGATGTTATGTTTGTTTCAGGGAGGTTCAGAAGGCAGTGAACGCATCACTGATGTGTTATGTTTGTTACAGGGAGGTTCAGAAGGCAGTGAACGCATCACAGATGTGTTATGTTTGTTACAGGGAGGTTCAGAAGGCAGTGAACGCATCACTGATGTTATGTTTGTTACAGGGAGGTTCAGAAGGCAGTGAACGCATCACAGATGTTATGTTTGTTACAGGGAGGTTCAGAAGGCAGTGAACGCATCACTGATGTTATGTTTGTTACAGGGAGGTTCAGAAGGCAGTGAACGCATCACAGATGTTATGTTAGTTACAGGGAGGTTCAGAGGGCAGTGAACGCATCACAGATGTGTGATGTTTGTTACTGGGAGGTTCAGAAGGCAGTGAACGCATCACAGATGTGTTATGTTTGTTACAGGGAGGTTCAGAAGGCAGTGAACGCATCACTGATGTTATGTTTGTTACAGGGAGGTTCAGAAGGCAGTGAACGCATCACTGATGTGTTATGTTTGTTACAGGGAGGTTCAGAAGGCAGTGAACGCATCACAGATGTGTTATGTTAGTTACAGGGAGGTTCAGAAGGCAGTGAACGCATCACAGATGTTATGTTTGTTACAGGGAGGTTCAGAAGGCACTGAACGCATCACAGATGTTATGTTTGTTACAGGGAGGTTCAGAAGGCAGTGAACGCATCACTGATGTTATGTTTGTTACAAGGAGGTTCAGAAGGCACTGAACGCATCACTGATGTGTTATGTTTGTTACAGGGAGGTTCAGAAGGCAGTGAACGCATCACTGATGTTTTGTTTGTTACAGGGAGGTTCAGAAGGCAGTGAACGCATCACTGATGTTATGTTAGTTACAGGGAGGTTCAGAAGGCAGTGAACGCATCACAGATGTTATGTTTGTTACAGGGAGGTTCAGAAGGCAGTGAACGCATCACTGATGTTATGTTTGTTACAAGGAGGTTCAGAAGGCAGTGAACGCATCACTGATGTTATGTTTGTTACAGGGAGGTTCAGAAGGCAGTGAACGCATCACTGATGTGCTATGTTTGTTACAGGGAGGTTCAGAAGGCAGTGAACGCATCACTGATGTTATGTTTGTTACAGGGAGGTTCAGAAGGCAGTGAACGCATCACTGATGTTATGTTTGTTACAGGGAGGTTCAGAAGTCAGTGAACGCATCACAGATGTTATGTTTGTTACAGGGAGGTTCAGAAGGCAGTGAACGCATCACTGATGTGTTATGTTTGTTACAGGGAGGTTCAGAAGGCAGTGAACGCATCACTGATGTTATGTTTGTTACAGGGAGGTTCAGAAGGCAGTGAACGCATCACAGATGTGTTATGTTTGTTACAGGGAGGTTCAGAAGGCAGTGAACGCATCACAGATGTTATGTTTGTTACAGGGAGGTTCAGAAGGCAGTGAACGCATCACTGATGTTATGTTAGTTACAGGGAGGTTCAGAAGGCAGTGAACGCATCACTGATGTGTTATGTTTGTTACAGGGAGGTTCAGAAGGCAGTGAACGCATCACTGATGTTATGTTTGTTACAGGGAGGTTCAGAAGGCAGTGAACGCATCACTGATGTTATGTTAGTTACAGGGAGGTTCAGAAGGCAGTGAACGCATCACTGATGTTATGTTTGTTACAGGGAGGTTCAGAAGGCAGTGAACGCATCACAGATGTGTTATGTTTGTTACAGGGAGGTTCAGAAGGCAGTGAACGCATCACTGATGTTATGTTTGTTACAGGGAGGTTCAGAAGGCAGTGAACGCATCACTGATGTGTTATGTTTGTTACAGGGAGGTTCAGAAGGCAGTGAACGCATCACTGATGTTATGTTTGTTACAGGGAGGTTCAGAAGGCAGTGAACGCATCACTGATGTGTTATGTTTGTTACAGGGAGGTTCAGAAGGCAGTGAACGCATCACTGATGTTATGTTTGTTACAGGGAGGTTCAGAAGGCAGTGAACGCAGCGCAGAGCCTCCACCACAGATGGAGCGAGCTGCTGCAGGAAGGGGGCGGGGCCTCCAAGGAGGAAATGGACTGGACGACCAATGAGCTGAGGAACAGTCTGCGCTCCATCGAGTGGGACCTGGAGGACCTGGACGAGACGATCAATATCCTTTATAACCCTTGTATAATCTGTTTTATATAATCATGTGTTTCAAGCCATACTAGTGAGTATCCATGTCGTTTCCAAAAGGAGGCATACCTATTTCTGTGGCCAACATTAGCATGTAAGGTGTCAGCAGAGAAAAGGGTCGTGAAACCTAGAATTATTTAAAGACAGAGGGGACAGAGGTCAGGAAAAGTTTAACTACGGATGCAGGTTGAGGTGCATATAAGCTCTGAGATTCCCCTTAGACTGTAGGGACAACATTACGCTATTGACTGCTTTGTTGCAAGGTAATGTGTCTCTTATAGTGCTGTACAGCAATATACTATTTAACTTCAACCATCTCTCTGTCTGTGTTTTATTGATTCCTCTTTGTTTTATTCTTTAATGTTGTGAGTGTTACATCGGATCCATGACACCCTGACGTGTTGTAGAGATCAGAGATGTGAAGCGTTAACCTGTGATAGATAAGTGGTTTTCTTAACTGTCCGTGAACGCATCGTCGAGTCCAACCCAAAGAAGTTCAACCTGGACATGGCAGAACTGTTGAAGAGGAAAGCCTTCATCACCAGCACCAGGCAGACGGTCAAGGTAAGCTTCACTTACATCAGGTAAAAGTCACCTCTGTGCTCAGGTGAGGAGTCACTGAACACCAAGCCCCCAGGAAGTGCTCCGGACTCTGAAGGAAATATTCGTAGTGGCCAAACGGCGGTACTACCATTTCCGTATCAGTCCGTGACGTCACCCGGCCCAGAAATACTTTTTCGCATTGATTAATATTTATTAGAATCATTAGGTCCTTAAAGTTGTAAAATGCGCTAAAAGCCGAATCCAGAATTGGGTATTCAAATTTCACTGGTATTGGTATTGACTTAAAGAGCCTGTGACACGAGTTTCCCCCATCATCCAAACCCTCAATTTGAGTAAATATTGTCCCCTTGAAAACCGTTACTGAACTGATTTTGGATATTTGTACTTTGATAACCATTAATCTGCCCTTCAATGTTGACCATTTCCTGGATCTGCTCGGGGATTCTTCAAGTCCCGCCAAATGATGTGTGACGTCATTGCGGGCACAGCGCTCCAGCTGCACCGTTCAGGATCCCAGCATCTGCATGTAAACGCACGATGACGCACACAGCAGCAAGCTCAGACAGCGAGGACAGTTTAATGTTGAACGTGTCTGAGAGCTCATATGAGGCTGAAGGATCGCTTTATGTTGTATCTGTTAGAAGTTTAGGAATTAGGTGCGTCAATATGGGCGATCATACGGTCATGTAGCCAGTGGTGGACTGGGACTAAAAATCATCCCGGGACTCTCGACCGGCCCACTTCGGTACCGCTAGTAAGTTGTCAACGGGGGGAGTGGGGGATGTCAGGGGCGGCGGGTGCTGTAGATAGTAAATGTAAATATGTAAATATTTGTGTCACTGCATCCTGGTAAAATACAAATATAATGTCTGTGTCTTTGACATTAGCGCTGCCAGCCACCTGTTCCCTGCACTACGAAGCCAGTTCAACAGACCCTGGATATGTTTGAGTAACAAACTAACTAACAACAACAAACTAACAAACGAGATCTCGCTAAGCGGTCCTACGACGCTGGTTATCAACTCGGTAAATCAAGCCAGGGTTACTCTCTCCAGCTGAGAGCGCGTTCACGTCTAAGACACGAGTGGATCTGACTTTAATTACATTTGACTCGAGTGTTTCGTCAACATAATGTGCTGCTAAAAATAATACTTCTGCATACAGTATGTAACACTGTGAGTGTTGCACGGCCAGACACGGCTCAGCTGACTCAGATAAGGAGATATATGATATATTATAATATTATATGATCGATGATCTGATTGATGATGTGATATGAATGATAAGTGCGACACGTCGGCGTCTTCTCTGCATACGGCAGTTTAAACTGTATTTCCTTTCTCCTGTAATATGACTTGAGAGATGTAAACTCCGCACACCGAGTTGATCTCTTTTCTATAGACGCCGGAGGCGGGCAGCGTCAGGTAAAACAAGTGATGTAGCCTTCCCAAACCTGAGCCTCACGCGCCGCCTATGGGGGATGTGCTAGTGATTTATCCGACCGGCCCACTTCGGTACCGGCCCATCGGAATTCGTCCCGATGGCCAGTCCGCCACTGCACCCAGCCCAGCCCAGGTAAACTGTCAACGGGGGGAGCCTCGCTGCGGGGAAACGGTGGACCTGGTGTCCCGATCGGAGTGGGAATAATAATAATAATAATCCGTGCATTTTATCCATTAACTTCCCCACATTGTGGTAAAAACACGTTTAATCCATGTTGGTGTACAACTACAAAAAGCATCGGTTTGTTTTCTCATCAGGAAATGCAGACCGGCTCAAACAAACGATTTTTAATCATCATCCTCACGATCATTTAATGTATCATATGTTCGCCGAATTGACATGAAAGCACTAATAAATGTAGTTTCATCCACTTGAGTTTACAACTACAAAAATAATCGATTTGTTTTTATATCACATCCGACGGGAGGAAATTCAGTAGCTCTCACTACCGATTTTTAATCCTAATGTAATCATCATCTTCACCACGATCATGTATGTTTATGTTCGCCGAATTGACATGAAATCACTGACACATATGAATATACTGTAGTCAACTTCATTAAAACGTTATTAACGTGCCTAAACTCAGTAATTCACCATTTCTACGCATGACAACACACTTTGTCCGTGTTTGGCTCTCTCTCCGCACAGTGAAGCGTTCCCGCATTGACGTCACTTCCGGCTTCTCCCAAAACTCCAAAATGAGTCGAAGGAATTTCCCCGCGATGTTCGAAATTATTGATATTTAACGGAACGGTATCGCTTTTTCTTTTTAAACTGACGGTTCGAGATTACTAGTAGCCCAATATTTCATTGCACAACAGTTGTTGGGATGCTGTCACAGGCTCTTTAAATTCTGGTATTGTGACATCTAGTCGCTGTTAGTCTTCACGCTGAACTGCTAGTGTCTGATTTGATTCCAAACGATCTGATTGGCTGCTGACTGTCCTTTTTTGTCTTGAAGGAAATGAAAGAAGAGATGTCGAGTCCAGGTGCGTCTTCAGGGGACAGAAAGAACCACCAGGTAACTGACCACAGGGGTACTTTTATACTGGAACTGTTACAAAAAGCCTCAAATCAATGCAGATAACCTTTTAAAGACACTTTTACCCCCGAGAAACCCAAAAGACCCCCTGTAGTTGCCTTAACTCTTGAGGGTAGGAAAGGTTTATAGACAGGGTATGGTAGGCCAGGTGCTCAAAATAATATAATGGTAGGGTTGGTCCTTGGAGTTTATCTATGAACAAGGGAGGGTAGGTCCTGATGTAAGAGATAAGAGATGATGGACCTTTATTAATCACTGTGGGGAAATTCAGAAGTTTAAACATCAACAGGGTCAGAAGGAAAAACAGGACAGCACAGATTCACACAAGGTTAAAGATTAATACAATTAAAATGATATACAGTTAAGTAACTTTTAAAATAAGAAATGAATTAAATGAACATATTTAGGGTATGGTAGGGCTTTGGAAGTGATAGGGTATATAAGTCCCTTGAGGTTACAGTGAGGGAAGGGCAGGTACATTGAAGGGAAATACGTTTTTGGATATGGAAAAAATATATATTTGCAGCTTCCTGTCATTGTAAGCAAAGGACAACGAACTTTGGAGCCAAAATCCTGTGTTCTCATCAAGACCATGAGTTTCCCTGGTCGAGTTTTTGATGTGATTTCTCCTCATATTCTCACCTTTGGTCAGCCGAAGCTGCTGCAAAACGTAAGATGTCTGACAGTGTGTGTGTGTTGTTGTGTCCAGGCTCTTCTCGGTGAGCGCGGTCCTTCAGGTCCGATCTGGCAGCCCGGAGGTAACAAATACAGCCGTCTGGACAGCCAGCTGCAGAACGCCAACTCTCAGTGCATCGAGGAACAGCAGGGCCAGCAGCAGGTACACAAACACTGGAGCCATGTCACAGCCAATGCAAATGCTTGCCTTCTTTGCAACAGTGGTTCCCTACCGGGGGTACAGCAAGCCCCCAGGAAGTGCTCCGGACTCTGAGGAAAATATTCCTAGTGGCCGAACGGCGGTACTACACCTTCCGTATCAGTCCGTGAGTTCACTGGGCCCAGAAAGACTTTTCCCATTGTCTAACATGGGGAAAGAGACGTCTGTAAATCAGCTGATAATTTTTAAACAAATAAAATACCCAGCACGAACACTTTTATAGCCCTTATTAGAATCGTTAGGTCCTTAAAGTTGTAAAAGGCACTAAAGCTGAATCCAGATTTAATTTCTCTCCATTCATTCTACGGAGCCGAGAGTAGGAGATCGGAGGCGGGGCTTAATTATAGGAGGCGGGGCTTTAGGGGAAACTCAACTGCGTTCTTTGAACTACATACGGGCACTTCTGCTCTGACAGCCAGGCATGCTGGGTAATCTGTGATGTTTTGCTCTCGAAAATCTCAGGCCATTTTGTCCTCATGCGCCAATGAGCAGCTCTCATAGGAAAGAACGAGACCCCGCCTCCCACGCTGTATCCAGTTCTTGTTAAACATCCATGGGGTTCGGGGGCCCTAGGGGGACTTGAGGGGATCGCAGGGGGTACGCAGGTGCCTGGCGTTCTAAAAATAGCGCAGGTCATCGCCAAATAAATAAATAACTTTTGTCTTACATGAATACAGAAAATAATGTTTCTTTTCAAATATGACGGATAAAAGTGGCTGTTCAGAGAGGGGGGGGGGGGGGGGGGGGGCTTCTCCTAACAAAAAAGAAGACATTATTGGCTTCCTAAATAAGTAGTGAGTTTTAACATACTTTTTTTACCTGACAACAAGTGTACATTTCAAGTTTAAATGGACTTGTATTGAATGTGAGAAATACAAGTGATTTTCATTTAGGAGCAGTCGAGTTAAACACGATACGAAGGGTTTCATACACGAAAAGATGTAGGCGAATTATCCCAGATGAGTGAGGGGGTTCTTATAGAATGGCTCAAGGGGTACACGAGACAGAAAAGGTTGGGAACCACTGCTTTACAAGATTATCCACGGCCTCACCTCACCTCCTCTCAGACGGTTTATTATCATCTGCTACTGCACATAGGATGACCAGAGGTGCAGCGAGAGGAGATTGCATTATTCCACTCAGGAAAAGTTCTTTCAGTCAGTCTTCATTTTCTGTTAAAGCTGCTCAGCGATGGAACTCAATCCCATCTCCAATCAGAGACTAGGTTTAGTTTATTTAAATCCAAACTCAAAACCTGGTTTGTGAGGAATCCGCTCTGAAACACTGACACAATCTTCTGCTCCTTACACTGCCTGTGTTTTAATGTTCTTTCTTGTTTTGTTTTTTGCATTAAGATTTCCAGGACTGTGTGTTGCATGTTTTTATTTGATTGTATTTACTTGTTTAAAATTAAATGTGTCTTTAGGTTGACTTAAAAACTCTGTCCAGGGACTACAGATGAGAAATAGCCTCTTGGCACATTTACAGAAATGTTGATTAATGTGCACTGTCCCTGTTGAATAAATAACAGCGCTCTGAGCGATGATGCACTATGGGGATGTTTTGGGTACCTGCTGGATTCAAACAAAGCATGATAATGTGTGTTTGTATCAGCTGATTGCAGAGCAGCAGGACGAACAGCTGGAGCTGGTGTCGGGAACAATCGGAGTCCTGAAGAACATGTCGGAGAGGATCGGCATGGAGCTGGATGAGCAGTCTGTGTAAGGACTTTCAGATTCATTTCCATTACTGGGGTTATGCTCTACGTTCGGTTTGTCCCCCATTGACATCAGGACGGCAGATAGCTTGCACATCTTCCGGCGCAAACTGAAAACTCATCTCTTTCGACTCCACTTCGAGCGTTAGAACTATTAACGAAGCACTTTTGTACTAATAAAGGACTGGCTTATCTAAAGCCAGTTGAGTAGCACTTGAAATGTTTGGCTCTATGAAACCTGATGTACTTTATGATTCTGTTTTCTTCAAGTTGTATTTTGTTGGACGAACGCACTTATTGTAAGTCGCTTTGGATAAAAGCGTCAGCTAAATGCAATGTAATGTAATGTAATGTAATGTCCCGGGAGGCAACAGACTGGGCAGGGCCTTGAAGGAATAAAAGGATCGGGTAGGTTGGAGATTACTGTAGGATAGAGAAGGGTAGGTCCCTGGAGGTTTCATCAGGATAGTGTACTGCCCTGGAGGATAGAGTGAAGGTATGGTAGGTTTTTTGAGGTTATATGAGAAGGTAAGGTAGGTGAAGTTCATTTCTAAAAAATAAACTTGTAGGTCTTCTAGGACCAATCAGACAAATACATTTTGGTCAGTTTCTGTAGGCAAAAGTTAGCATGGTCAAAAAAGGACTAAACTCAGTTGTTTCGGGACATGAAAAGCAGGTGAGGGACAAGGACAGGAAGTGAGGGACCACATCAGGAAGTAAGGGTAAAAAAAGCACCTGGTTTTGAAGCGAACATTTTAAAGTGGCCAAAGGTTGGTACTACAACTTCCGTGAGTCTCCTGACGTCATTGGGCCCCAAAACAAGTTTCCCATAGACTTACGCTGGGAAAGAGACGTCTGTAAACCAGCGTAGAACTGGGTTTGAGGTAATTAAACTACCCAGTACGAACCCTTGAGTATCCCTACTTTAAATCATTACGTCTTTAAGTCTTAGATGCGCTAAAAGCCGTATCCAGAGTTTGTCTCCTCTCCGTTCATGTGACTGAGCCCAGAGCGGCCGTGACGGAGCAAAAAAAAATTCTGAATCAATAAAACTGTTCATCTTATTAAATGAGTCAGTTTTCTTTTTATTAAAATGTAATTTCTTTAATGTAGATAACTTGGCAGTGCATGCCTCCCTTTGTTTGCAGAAAACAGGTTTTTTTCACGGCAAAATGCCAAGAAATATGTTTTAAAATGTGATATTCGTTTAGCTGACAAAGCAAATGTTTTGACTCAAGCCGGACTTGATGAGTCTTTGTGTTTTTCTTGCAGGATGCTGGATGACTTCACTCATGAGGTGGACAACACTCACTCCAGATTGGACAATGTCATGAAGAAACTGGCTAAGGTGTCGCACATGACCAGCGGTAAACTGCCCTCACACTGCAGTAGTGACAGAAATAAAACAATGGATGCTAGTGCTTTTAGCTTGTAGTTAATTAGTTGATATTTATTAGCAGTCTGTTTTCCCACAGATCGTCGTCAGTGGTGTGCTATCGGTGTGTTGCTTGGAATCCTGTTCATCGTCCTCCTCCTCTTCTTCATCCTCTGATTGATGCCTCCTCCTGTCAGCACTCATCAATCTGTCTACTGGAGTCCAGCAGATCCTACTGGACTCTATCGGACTCGACTGGACTGTACTGATCTCTAGAAGACTCCGCCAGTCACTACTGGATTCAATTGTACCCTTCTGTACCTCAACCAGACCCAATTTCACTGAACTGGACTCTCCTGATCTCTGGAGTCTACCGGACTCTATCCCACTCCACCTGACAATCGACTCTGTCGGACTCTATCGGACTTTACTGGACTCTACAGGCCCCCATTGGACTCGACTGGACTCTACCTGACTCTACTGTTCTCTAGAAGATCTCCACCAGACACTACTGGTTTCTATTGTACCTCTACCAGACCCTATTTGACTGAACTGGACTCTCCTGATCTCCAACTTTCTCTACCAGACTCTATCGGACTCTCCTGATCTCCAACTTTCTCTACCAAACTCTACCAGACTCTATCGGACTCTATCGGACTCTCCTGATCTCCAGCGGACTCTACCAGACTCTACCGGACTCTATCTGACTCTATCTGACTCTATCTGACTCTATCTGACTCTACCGGACTCTACCGGACTCTCCTGATCTCCAGCGGACTCTACCAGACTCTACCGGACTCTATCTGACTCTATCGGACTCTACCAGACTCTACCAGACTCTACCGGACTCTACCAGACTCTACCGGACTCTACCAGACTCTACCGGACTCTACCGGACTCTACCAGACTCTACCGGACTCTATCTGACTCTATCGGACTCTACCAGACTCTACCAGACTCTACCGGACTCTATCTGACTCTATCGGACTCTACCAGACTCTACCAGACTCTACCGGACTCTACCGGACTCTACCGGACTCTATCTGACTCTATCGGACTCTACCAGACTCTACCGGACTCTACCGGACTCTACCAGACTCTACCAGACTCTACCAGACTCTACCAGACTCTACCGGACTCTACCAGACTCTATCTGACTCTATCTGACTCTACCGGACTCTACCAGACTCTACCAGACTCTACCAGACTCTACCGGACTCTACCAGACTCTACCAGACTCTACCGGACTCTACCAGACTCTACCGGACTCTACCAGACTCTACCACTCTACCAGACTCTACCAGACTCTACCAGACTCTACCAGACTCTACCAGACTCTACCAGACTCTCCTGATCTCCAACGGACTCTACCAGACTATACCACACTCCACCGGACTCTATCGGACTCTCCTGATCTCGTTGTCTGTCTGTTTTCTGCTGAGTCGACTGAAGGCACTTTTTGGTTCTCTGAATGTCTGACTGTTAATCATGTGGAGGTCAGACCAGGTGGAACCAGGTTTGATGTGTGTTAAGGAATCCTGTTTGTTTTATTTAAGGGCTGAGATTCCACTCGACTGAAACTCTTTTTTGAAAACCACTTTAAATCCATGTTTACTCTACTTTGAAAACCACTTTAACTCCATATTTACTCTGTTTAAAACCAGTTTAACTCTACTTTAATCCAAGCTGGACTTAATCATAACTGTTGACTCCAGTATATCTATATACCTTCAGTGTAACTACTTTAAAGTGTTTAACTCCGCTTGAATCTTGACATTAACTCCAGTATAACTTAAAGATAAGTGTATTTCCAACTCAGTATTTTCTACATTTAACTCTGTTATTTTAACTCCATGTTAACATCATTTTATCTCCGTTTAATTTCATTGGTTTGACTCTGGTTCATTTCAGGTTTAACTCCAGTGCAATTCACATTTAATCATGTTACCAGAAGAATTGTAATCCTGGTTTAACTCCTTTTAATCAAGGTTCAACTTTCGTCCAACTATGGTTTTAATCAGATTGAATCCTTAGTTTCAGGTTTAACTCTCGTTGATTTAAGATTCAAACCTTGTTTAACTTCAGTTACAATGTGGTTTAATTCCAGTTTATTCTTGATATAATCTTTAACTCCAGTTGAACTCTGGTTGAATTCAGATGTAATCTTGCTTTAAACCCAAATTAAACTCGGCTCAATTTCAGGTTAAATCCTTTTTTAACTTCAGTTACAATATGGTTGAATCCTGGTTTCTATTGTAACTGTTTAAAAGTACCTTTAATCCTGTTTTTTAGTTTAGTCTGCGTTTGAAAAAAAGTAATAACACTAAAACTTTTTGTTTACAGTTTGCGTGTTTTGTTTTACTGACTGAATCTTTTTATGTTTAATGTTTTATTGTTTTTTGTTGTGTCCCACATTATCAGATTCACGGTACGCACGGTGGTAATGAACGTGTTTCCTGTTTTAACAAAATAAAACTGACTGTTGCAAATAAAGTCTATAAATACAAAGATTATTAACAGACTGACTTTGGATCTGTTCTCACTCTCCATAAATCCATCGAGTTGTTTTACAGTTAATTTCACAACACAATTAAGTATTCTCTGCAATTAAGCCATAGGTTGAAATTACAAAATTACATTTATCAGATTTTCATAAATAGAGAAGTTTTGGTGTTTTGAATTTAGAAATATCAATGTTTCTTAACTTTACTTGTTTTCTGAAAATCTGAAAATTCAGACTTTTTTTAAAAAATCTGAAAATTCTGATTTTTTTCAAATAATCTGAATTTTTTCAAAATATCAAAATATTCGGAATTCTTTCTAAAAATTATAAAATTCTGACTTTTTACTCAAAATAAAAAAATTCAGACTATTTTCCAAAAACTGAAAATTCAGGCTTTTCTCAAAATGTTTATATTTTTGTTCGTAAGTGTCACATTCACTGCCAACTTAAATACAAACAAACATCATAAATAAAATATAACTTTAATTAGCAGAGAATCAATTATTTAACAACAAAATATTAATATTCTTTCTCAACAACATTTGCAAGTTGTTTCTTTATTTGTCAGAAATGATAAACAAACATAAACATACATGTAAACTACATAAATACTGCAGAAGTTTAAACTGAATACATGTTTAATGTTTATGTGTTAAATAACATTAGTTAAGTTTATATACAGCAGGTCTGAAGAGGCACAAAGGTTAAAATCAGAAACACACTTATTTACATTATAAGGTTCTTAGAGAAAACACTTAAAGGATGTAATACTTCAGATTAACAGCTGATATCATGACGCTGCGTTAAAGTTCAATTCGTGTTCAATTCAAGTTCAAACAAGATCATTTCAAAATTATTATGGGGCTTATAAACTGCCTTTGTAAACAATGGTTTCTCTTCTTCTGTGGTGTTCAGCGTGGAGGGTTAGGGTTTTCTGAAAATTCTGACTTTTTTTGAAAATCTCAGAATTCAACTATTATACTACTATCAGACGATTCAGATTTATTTCTGAATTTAAGGAAACAGGATGTATTACATCAGATTAACAGCTGATATCATGACGCTGCTTTAAAGTTCATTTAATGTTCAATTTTAGTGAAACGATATCATTTAAAAAAAATATTCTGTGGTGATCAGCTGTCTTGATGGCCTCTCTTCTTCTGTGGTGATCAGCTGTCTTGATGGCCTCTCTTCTTCTGTGGTGATCAGCTGTCTTGATGGCCTCTCTTCTTCTGTGGTGATCAGCTGTCTTGATGGCCTCTCTTCTTCTGTGGTGATCAGCTGTCTTGATGGCCTCTCTTCTTCTGTGGTGATCAGCTGTCTTGATGGCCTCTCTTCTTCTGTGGTGATCAGCTGTCTTGATGGCCTCTCTTCTTCTGTGGTGATCAGCTGTCTTGATGGCCTCTCTTCTTCTGTGGTGATCAGCTGTCTTGTTGGCCTGTCTTCTTCTGTGGTAATCAGCTGTATTATTGGCCTCTCTTCTTCTGTGGTGTCAGCGTGGCGGTGTGCGTAGTACCCTGACGGTGGTGACGGTGTTCTGGGTCAGCAGCCGGGTCACCTGATCCAGAGTCAGAGCGGACACTTTCTGCCCGGCGACCTCCAGGAACTCATCTCCCACTGAGAGCAGACCTGAGAACAGCTTCTCTGTGCTGAGGTCCAGCATGTCCTCCACGTACACTCCTAGACACAGTACACAGAGTACTATTAGTACACTCCTGAGTACAAAGAGTACTGTTAATACACACCTTCAGTACACAGAGTACTATTAGTATCAGTATTTGCTGTATTTTCAGCAATATTGTCAGCAGTATTTTCAGTAGTATTTGCTGTATTTTCAGTAGTATCTCCAGTACCTGAGTCCCTGCGGCCCCTCCCCCGGCTGACGATGAACCCGAACGTTCTGCTGCTCGGTCGGATCAGCTCCAACAGAACCGAGCCGTCAGCAGAGACCTGGAGAACCCGCCCCACGCAGCGCGCTGAGGACGGAGAACCCACGTCCTGCAGGGTGAGAGACCTCTGAGAGAACCTGAGGAGAGAGAGGACGACCTAGGACTCATAACGCTGACTCATTCCTTCACCAATCTTAATCTTAATGGTCCCCTATTATGCAAAATGCACTTTCTGATGTCTTTTTCTACATCAACATGTGTCCCCGGTGTGTCCCCGGTGTGTCCCCGGTGTGTCCCCGGTGTGTGTGTCCCCGGTGTGTCCCCGATGTGTCCCCAGTGTGTGTGTCCCCGGTGTGTCAGAACACAAAACCCTCTCTCTTTTCCTCCGTACCCACATCCAGTGGCGGCGCCAGAGATTTTCTTTTGGGGTGCTGTGGGGTAGCTTGACATTTCAAATATTTAGGGTTTCCCATTAAGGTACCGGGCGCTACAGTGGAATGTTCTACTGCAACACTCCCCACACGCACACACAGTGTACCCGCGGCATTTACAAAGAAGGCTCGAAAATCACCTCATAAGCTAGGTGTAAGCAGGGGTAAAGTACTATTTTTTATAAGTGGGGGGTGGACCTAACCTCCTCTAGGGGGGTCCTCCTCACCTCCTCTAGGGGGTCCGGGGGCCTGCTCCCCCGGGAAGGTTTTTTTTTTTTAAATATTGAAGTTAAAAGCATCAATCTGGTGCACTTTGAGAGCAACATGAAGAGATCTATGGATACCTCTCTCAACAGATATGAAACAGAACTTTAAACAGATTTACTTTTTCTTTATGGATATTTTACAAATCACTCCCCTTTCAAACTGTATTCTTGTTTTACTGTCATATAGTATTTCATACCTGTTTTTCATTTATTCTCTTATTTTTTTATAACTATAATGATCATATGAACGTGTGCCTCGGAAATAATTGTTTACATTAATGGTGACCAAACCGTTTGAGACCCACTGAGATAACTTAGACTAAAGTGAACTATCTAAACACTCAGAGTCCTTTAGCTCACTGAGCCTCTCAGTCTGAGAGGAGAGGACTCTCCTCCAGCTTGTTGTGGAAACAGCTCTTTATATCCGTTGTGCAGCTAGCTAACCAGATGCTAACAACAAAACAACAACAAAATCCCTGGCTCTCTCTCTCTCTCGCTCGCTCAATCACACTAAATGCGCTATTGCCACACACACACACACACACACACACACACACACACACACACACACACACACCACACACACACACACACACACACACACACACACAGACGCACAGACGCACTTGTACTGTACTGTATATTATTTTCGATTCAATGATTTTTCAAATTATGAATTTCACACATAAAAAAAAAAAAGACAGACATTTCTTGGGGGTGCTTAGGGGGTGCTATGGCTATCCTAGGGGGAGCTTCGGCGCCTATACCCACATCTCTAAAAACGGGGGAACAACGGAGCTGATCCAGATTTGCTGCGTCATGACCACATTACTAAAATGTGGGCGGGCTTTAGACCCACGGGCCAATCAGAAACGTTGCTTTCAGAAATAATGAGACGTGTTCTGGAAATAATATGGTCTGTGTTTACATTAGCCATCCTTGATGTAGTTTGGAACATAATATGGCGTTTTCGAGTTTCTGCTGCTAGAATTCTCCTGAATGAGCTCTCCTTTTTCTTTCTTTTTAAAGCTACGGACCCAGAATCAACACTTTAGTAACAGGGCTGAAATAGAGGGGGATGAGGCTAGAATGGGTGATCAGTTTGGTATTTTGAGCAAAGCACTTCAGAGACATGTTTTGTATAGATATGGCCCTGTAATATATTGTTCAAATAAAGCCTAATAGGTGAGCTTTAAGTATAACAGGAAACTTACGGCTCAGCGGCTCGTCTGTAGTCCGCAGAGCGATCCTTCTTCTTCTTACGCTCTGACACAATACTCTGAACCGAAGACGACTTCCTCAACTGCAGGAAGGGCGACCCCTGCTGGACGGACAGGAAACACAGACTTTTACTCAAGTACAACACCCAAGTACTTCTACTTTTTTCAAGTACAAGTACAACACCCAAGTACTTCTACTTTTACTCAAGTACAAGATCTGAGTACTTCTACTTTTACTCAAGTACAAGATCTGAGTACTTCTACTTTTACTCAAGTACAAGATCTGAGTACTTCTACTGTTACTCAAGTACAAGATCTGACACAAACTTTAGATTTTTTTTATTTTTAGAAATTGATTAATATGTTTAATATGTTTGGATGAGATTCTAGCAGAAATATAACTTAAAAATAAAATAATTGATGATGTTCTCACCACACTGGGAGACTGAGCGGAGGACTTCCTGGTTCCTGTGGGGGTGGGGTCAGAGGGGGCGGGGTCAGTCACAGGGGGGCGGGGCCTGAAGCTGAGGCGGTCGAGGCTGCCGGTTCGAGTCCCGCTGAGCCTGACGCTGGAGAAGAGACGACGCAGAGAGAGGCGAGAGGAATCGTCTCTGCTGCCGAGGCTGGAGGAAACACAGGATGCATAAATAAACAGGTGGGAGAAATACTCAGGTGTTGTACTTGAGTACAAGTACAAGTAGCGTTAACCTTCAGTTGTTGGTTTTTTACTGGAGTCTTTTCTACATTTGGGACGGGAATTTATTTTGAGGTTTGTCTCCTCCTATAGTCTTAAAATGGTCTGTAGAATAATTACAGTAAAAAGGGTCGGTGTAAAAAGCAAAGGATGAGATTTGACACTACTTCAAAATGATTCAGTTATTATTGTGTTTATATCTGTTCACAAGTTTATGTTGAAACATGTAAAACAAAATACAGTTTATGAATGTTTGGTGTTGAATGAGGACTTCCTGCATTCAGACCATGGATGTATAATAATAACTGGATACAGCGTGGGAGGCGGGGTCTCGTTCTTTCCTATGAGAGCTGCTCATTGGCACATGAAGGCAAAATGGCCCAACTTTTGAGAGAGCGAAACGTCACAGATTACCCAGCATGCCTGGCTGTCAGAGCAGAAGTACCCGTATGTGCCCTCATAGAGCATGCGCAGCTGAGTTGCCCCTTAAGCCCCACCCCCAAGCTCCCAATCTCAGATGCACGTACATAATGCAGAGGAAAATAACTCTCAGAATAACGTTATTACTTATTAGCACATTTTACAACTTGAGGACCGAATGTTTTTAACTTGTTAAGCCCCGAGCCTGTTTTCAGGTCTCAGGCTCGAAAATGACATTCCCAGAACAAATGACCATATCTTCTAAAAGGGTTAAATTAATAATCTTTTTTCTCAAAGCAAGGATACACCTGTGAGTTGGATGTAGAAGTGTCAGAATCAATATAGATGTTTTTATTTTCAAGTAAATTCAGATTGAACACAGTAAAAAAAATGTAAATTATTGTGTCCGTCCAAAAAAAAAAGATTACTTATAGTGAAAACCACCCTTGAATGATGGGATGGTAGACTAAAAGCTTTAGGAATCCAATCAACTACAACATATAATAAGTGCCCTGTATCAAGATTGATGCAAAACAAGTGAAATTTGACCTTTTTAGAGAGATTTAGCACAAAAAAAACACTTCTGGGGCCATTTGGGTGGATTTGACCTATCTCTGGCCCCCCTTGCTCGATTTTGCTGATTGACATCTCTTTCTGACCGTCAGAGCCAATGGAATCGAGGGGAACTCCCACACACTCCTTATTTGGTAATGTGTGTGTGTGTGTGTGTGTGTGTGTGTGTGTGTGTGTGAGACTGACGCATAGCCAAAACCGGAAGCTGCGATAACTCTGGTGGCTACCATTAGCAGCTAATTTTAACTCTCCGATTTTTACATAAAAATGGAATTATGGATTATAAATTTAAAAAATATTCCACAGAAACATTATCAACCTATGGATTAACCGATTCAGCCGCGTTTTTTCTCGTTTTAATGCCATTGAACACGTCTTTTTATCAGATTGACAGCTACGGTGAGACGATTTCCCTAGAATCTCCGTAAAGGTACGTGTTGTGATGTCTGTGTTTGCTTCCCCTGTCGCGAGTCCGGATAACTCAGTGATGATACTATATACCTAAATAATCTGTGGAACCTCAGCTTTAATCGGATATCTTGTATGTGCAGCTACGATAACTAGTAACAAGGGTACTTTTATCTTGAGTTCTGTGCCAAAGTGCGTTAGCATTTTTCGCTCAGGGGTCATTTAGATGCTTCTTATGAGACTTGTGTTTTGTTTTGGTAAAAATGGTTTGTATCGTCAGTTAGCTGAGATTATTTCCGTTAATCTGGTATAACACATTAACAGGTTCTTAAATATTAAGATGCCCTGAGACACAGTGTCGTGAGAAAAACAAAGGCGGGGCTTTGGGGCTTAACAGGTTTTAATAAGGGCTATACAAACGTTCATACTGGGTAGTTTATTTAGTTTAAAAAAAATTATCCAACGATTTACAGACGTCTCTTTCCCAATGTTAGTCAATGGTAAAAAGTGTTTCTGGGCCCAGCAACCCATACGGAAGTGTAGTACCGCCGTTTGGCCACAACGAATATTTTCCTCAGAGTCCGGCGCACTTCCTGGGGGCTTGATTCAGACTCACCGTTCAGGAAGAGGCGGGTCATCAGCGTGAGTCTCTGCTCTCATTGGCTCTCTGCAAGCAGGGGGCGGAGCTGTTCTCTCAGTTGTAAACCAATCAGAGGAGGATATGTTAGTGCACGTATACGGATCTCAATACATTTTTATTTTCTTATCAAATAGTTGTTTGTTTCCTGTGCAATATATCCTGTAAACGTTCTCACCTGTGGAGCTCTGAACCTCCACAGAGGGGCTTCTCTGCTGCAGTGCTGCTGCCCCTTTTTGGGGCTGTGCTGCAGCTGGACCCCCCTGGTCCTGCTTCTGGTGCTGGTTCTTCTCCTGCTTCTGGTTCTTCTCCTGCTTCTGGTTCTTCTCCTGCTTCTGGTTCTTCTCCTGGTGCTGGTTCTGGTCCTGTTTCTTGTTCTGGTTTGGCACTACCTCTGTCCAGTTTACCCCGATGCTCTGTAACATAATCGCTGACCCCACAGTGGGCGGGGCCAAGTAGGAAGTGGGCGTGGTCAGCTGGTCGAGGGCGTAGGGGTTGATTGGCAGATCTATGATGGGCATCGGGTTTCCATTTATCTCCTTCTGATTGGTCCTCCTCCTCACCTGGTGGTAAGCCCCGCCCCCTACCACCCTGGTCTCCTCATGTCTGACGGAGCCAATGTACGTCTCTCTGATTGGCTCAGTCAGCAGGTGAAGGCATGGCCTGTGCAGACTCCGCCCCCTGTCTTCAGGTAAAGGCAGGCGGACTCCAACAGGCCCCGCCCCCGCTGCTCCGTAAACATACCTGTTGGGAAAATAGTGAATGTCCTTTCCCAATCTGAGAGTAGCATGCTAACAAAGGTATCAACTGTAGCTGTGAACATGACAGGATGTGTGATGACCTAGAAGAGCATCAGGACTGTTTGAGGCAGATGATAGCTATGTGATTAACATGATGATTCAGCCTCTATGGAGAGAGACATCAAGCATGCTCATTTCTGACGTGGAGCTAATCTGAAGTAAACATTGAATACTGCTTTCTATTCCTCCATCTTGTGACTGTGTAACTCCCTCTCTTGATATCAGCATGTGAAGGACACTGTTCAGGAACTAGTTGATGCTCTGTATGTGATGACTCCTTCCATTCTGGAGAGGATCACAGATACATGGATCCTGAGGTTCAAGCTCAAGCCGGAGACCAGGGAGAGTTTTCTAACAATACCTGTTCAGGTGAGGTTTAGAGAGCAGCACCGGCCTCCTCTGTCTCTCCAGGTAACGAGACTCCGCCTCCGTCTCCGTTTCATCCTCGAATCTCAGGCGGCGGCTCGGAGACGACGCCGGGCGACGCCTCGATAACTTGGCTGATTGATCGCTGCTGGACGAGTCGCTGAGGTGTTTAGATGGAGCCGAGACAAAGGGAAGTAGCCGGACCCCCGACCTGCAGACACACCGCCGTTATCAATCAACCAATCAGAGTTTGTTTCTAATTTAAAGGTCACCTATTATGCAAAATCCTCTTCTTCATGTCTCTTCTACATCAACATGTGTCCCCTCTTCTTCATGTCTCTTCTACATCAACATGTGTCCCCTCTTCTTCATGTCTCTTCTACATCAACATGTGTCCCCTCTCAACATGTGTCCCCTCTTCTTCATGTCTCTTCTACATCAACATGTGTCCCCTCTTCTTCATGTCTCTTCTACATCAACATGTGTCCCCTCTTCTTCATGTCTCTTCTACATCAACATGTGTCCCCTCTTCTTCATGTCTCTTCTACATCAACATGTGTCCCCTCTTCTTCATGTCTCTTCTACATCAACATGTGTCCCCTCTTCTTCATGTCTCTTCTACATCAACATGTGTCCCCTCTTCTTCATGTCTCTTCTACATCAACATGTGTCCCCTCTTCTTCATGTCTCTTCTACATCAACATGTGTCCCCTCTTCTTCATGTCTCTTCTACATCAACATGTGTCCCCTCTTCTTCATGTCTCTTCTACATCAACATGTTTCCCCTCTTCTTCATGTCTCTACTACATCAACATGTGTCCCCCTCTTCTTCATGTCTCTTACTACATCAACATGTGTCCCCTCTTCTTCATGTCTCTTCTACATCAACATGTGTCCCCCTCTTCTTCATGTCTCTTCTACATCAACATGTGTCCCCTCTTCTTCATGTCTCTTCTACATCAACATGTGTCCCCTCTTCTTCATGTCTCTTCTACATCAACATGTGTCCCCTCCTTCTTCTTCATGTCTCTTCTACATCAAACATGTGTCCCCTCTTCTTCATGTCTCTTCTACATCAACATGTGTCCCCTCTTCTTCATGTCTCTTCTACATCAAACATGTGTCCCCTCTTCTTCAATGTCTCTTCTACATCAACATGTGTCCCCTCTTCTTCACTGTCTCTTCTACATCAACATGTGTCCTCCTCTTCTTCATGTCTCTTCTACATCAACATGTGTCCTCCTCTTCTTCATGTCTCTTCTACATCACCATGTGTCCCCTCTTCTTCATGTCTCTTCTACATCAACATGTGGCCCCTCTTCTTCATGTCTCTTCTACATCAACATGTGTCCCCTTCCCTCTTCTAACATCACTAGTGTCCTCTTTTCTACATCAACATGGTGTCCCCTCTTCTTCCATGTCTCTTCTACATCAACATGTGTCCCCTCTTCTTCATGTCTCTTCTACATCACCATGTGTCCTCTCTTCTTCAATGTCTCTTCTACATCAACATGTGTCCCCCTCTCTTCATGTCTCTTCTACATCAACATGTGTCCCCCTCTTCTTCATGTCTCTTCTACATCAACATGTGTCCCCTCTTCTTCATGTCTCTTCTACATAATCAACATGTGTCCCCTCTTCTTCATGTCTCTTCTACATCAACATGTGTCCCCTCTTCTTCATGTCTCTTCTACATCAACATGTGTCCCCTCTTCTTCATGTCTCTTCTACATCAACATGTGTCCCCTCTTCTTCATGTCTCTTCTACATCAACATGTGTCCCCTCTTCTTCATGTCTCTTCTACATCAACATGTGTCCCCTCTTCTTCATGTCTCTTCTACATCAACATGTGTCCCCTCTTCTTCATGTCTCTTCTACATCAACTCTGTGGAAAGAGACTCTGAAAGTTTCAGGAACAAAGATTCTCTCTCTTTTTGATCCATTTCTATAAAAACCTGTCTGAAAATGAGCTGATCAGATTTTGGCCACTTGATGATGTCATAACGATGTTTTGTCTCGTGTATCCATTAGCCAATCAGCAACCAAGGTATCAATGTTAGAGCGATGTTAGGCACAGCGTTGGATGTCAGCAGTACATCGCAGACTAAGATTGTAGCGTTAAATAGAGGGTTATATTGTGAACTGATTTACGGTTTAATAGCAACGCGAAAGATTGAGGCGTTGGACTAGAGATGCGTAACATCATCACAGACTTATAGCGGAGTTTAAAACGCTTCTTTAGAGCGCGGCAAAATATCGTAGAGCTTTGAACTAACTCTAATTTGTGTGTATGTGAGTGTTTGTGTATGTGAGTGTTTGTGTGTGTGTGTGTGTGTGTGTGTGTGTGTGTGTGTGTGTGTGTGTGTGTGTGTGTGTGTGTGTGTGTGTGTGTGTGTGTGTGTGTGTGTTACTCACAGAGTGTGTGTGTCGGGGGTCAGCAGCTCGTGGTCGGCTCTCAGAGGAACGCAGCGACGCTTCATACGAGCTCCGTCCTCACACTGCTGCCGCGGCAACCGAGCTGACACATGGAGGCTGAACACACAAACACACACACATACACACACACACACACACACACACACACACACACACACAGGGTGGGGGAGGGGAGAGGATGACATAAGCGACTGCGATTGGTCGGTGTGTCAGAGCAAGGATTAAAGTGAGCCGCTCGTCAGAACTGATTAACGAGACGAGACTGTTTATATCAGCAGAGTCTGTCTGTCTGTGTGTGTGTGTGTGTGTGTGTGTGTGTGTGTGTGTGTGTGTGTGTGTGTGTGTGTGTGTGTGTGTGTGTGTGTGTGTGTGTGGTGTGTGTGTGTGTGTGTGTGTGTGTGTGTGTGTGTGTACTTTAAGAAGTGATGATATTAAAAATGACACATGTTGTGTTCCTTTCATACCAGCTTGTGTTTAAGTGTGTAAAGCACTTAGTCGTGATGTGATCACATTAAAGTGTTTTTCTCCACAGGTAGCATTATTCACACTCAATGAACATTTTATTCCCTGGAAGTTAATTTAAGAGGAACGAAGCTGACAGCAGCAGACACACCTGCACAGTTTAAACACACACACACACACACACACACACACACACACGCACACACACACACACACACACACACACACACACACACACACACACACACACACACACACACACACACACACACACACACACACACACACACACACACACACACACACACACACTGCTGACGTTGGATGTGATGTGAAGTCATTAGACAGCTTCTTAAAGAATACATCCTTTAGGTCTCACATTGCTCCCTATAGCCTAACACACAGCGGGTACATATGTTCTTAAAATATGAAGACTTTTTCTTACAGTTCAGATTTTTATCTCAGAATGAATTAACTTTACACTTGATTTTGAGGACAAAACAACAATCTGAGAATATTTTAAACATGAGCAGAAATCTGTAACTCTTGAGGTATTTAAGTCCAGGGTTTTAGATTAAAGGTCCCCTATCATCCTCCTCTTCATCAATACATCACAGGTCTCAGATATATCCAGAGCCTGTCTCTGATTGGCTGAAACACCAAACAGATCATTGCAGCATTACCCATAACCCCCTCTGTTTCAGCCCTGTTTCCAAAGTGCTGATTCTCTGTCTGTTACTTTAGATGAAAATAAGGAGCCCCTCCCCACGCCCCTCTGAGAGACATTTGGTTACAAAGAAGTCAATGGTGCTCTAGGAGGAGATTCAGGTGATAAGGGGTGGGGGGGGGGGGGCGTTACCTTGGTTGCTGATTGGCTAATGGATACACAAGACAACACATCGTTATGACATCATAAAGTGGCCAAAATCTGATCAGCTCATTTTCAGACAGGTTTTTATAGAAATGGATCAAAAAGAGAGAGAATCTTTGTTCCTGAAACTTTCAGAGTCTCTTTCCACAGAGGGGACACATGTTGATGTAGAAGAGACATGGAGAAGAGGGGACACATGTTGATGTAGAAGAGACATGAAGAAGAGGGGACACATGTTGATGTAGAAGAGACATGAAGAAGAGGGGACACATGTTGATGTAGAAGAGACGTGAAGAAGAGGGGACACATGTTGATGTAGAAGAGACATGAAGAAGAGGGGACACATGTTGATGTAGAAGAGACATGAAGAAGAGGGGACACATGTTGATGTAGAAGAGACATGGAGAAGAGGGGACACATGTTGATGTAGAAGAGACATGAAGAAGAGGGGACACATGTTGATGAAGAAGAGACATGAAGAAGAGGGGACACATGTTGATGTAGAAGAGACGTGAAGAAGAGGGGACACATGTTGATGTAGAAGAGACATGAAGAAGAGGGGACACATGCTGATGAAGAAGAGACATGAAGAAGAGGGGACACATGTTGATGAAGAAGAGACATGAAGAAGAGGGGACACATGTTGATGTAGAAGAGACATGAAGAAGAGGGGACACATGTTGATGAAGAAGAGACATGAAGAAGAGGGGACACATGTTGATGTAGAAGAGACGTGAAGAAGAGGGGACACATGTTGATGTAGAAGAGACGTGAAGAAGAGGGGACACATGTTGATGTAGAAGAGACATGAAGAAGAGGGGACACATGTTGATGTAGAAGAGACATGGAGAAGAGGGGACACATGTTGATGTAGAAGAGACATGAAGAAGAGGGGACACATGTTGATGAAGAAGAGACATGAAGAAGAGGGGACACATGTTGATGTAGAAGAGACGTGAAGAAGAGGGGACACATGTTGATGTAGAAGAGACGTGAAGAAGAGGGGACACATGTTGATGTAGAAGAGACATGAAGAAGAGGGGACACATGTTGATGAAGAAGAGACATGAAGAAGAGGGGACACATGTTGATGTAGAAGAGACGTGAAGAAGAGGGGACACATGTTGATGTAGAAGAGACGTGAAGAAGAGGGGACACATGTTGATGTAGAAGAGACATGAAGAAGAGGAGACACATGTTGATGTAGAAGAGACGTGAAGAAGAGGGGACACATGTTGATGTAGAAGAGACATGGAGAAGAGGGGACATATGTTGATGTAGAAGAGACATGGAGAAGAGGGGACACATGTTGATGTAGAAGAGACATGGAGAAGAGGGGACACATGTTGATGTAGAAGAGACATGAAGAAGAGGGGACACATGTTGATGTAGAAGAGACATGAAGAAGAGGGGACACATGTTGATGTAGAAGAGACGTGAAGAAGAGGGGACACATGTTGATGTAGAAGAGACATGGAGAAGAGGGGACACATGTTGATGTAGAAGAGACATGAAGAAGAGGGGACACATGTTGATGTAGAAGAGACATGAAGAAGAGGAGACACATGTTGATGTAGAAGAGACGTGAAGAAGAGGGGACACATGTTGATGTAGAAGAGACATGGAGAAGAGGGGACACATGTTGATGTAGAAGAGACATGAAGAAGAGGGGACACATGTTGATGTAGAAGAGACATGAAGAAGAGGGGACACATGTTGATGTAGAAGAGACATGGAGAAGAGGGGACACATGATGATGTAGAAGAGACATGAAGAAGAGGGGACACATGTTGATGTAGAAGAGACATGAAGAAGAGGGGGACACATGTTGATGTAGAAGAGACATGAAGAAGAGGAGACACATGTTGATGTAGAAGAGACATGAAGAAGAGGGGACACATGTTGATGAAGAAGAGACATGAAGAAGAGGGGACACATGTTGATGTAGAAGAGACATGAAGAAGAGGAGACACATGTTGATGTAGAAGAGACATGAAGAAGAGGGGACACATGTTGATGTAGAAGAGACATGAGGAAGAGGGGACACATGTTGATGTAGAAGAGACATGAAGAAGAGGGGACACATGTTGATGTAGAAGAGACATGAAGAAGAGGGGACACATGTTGATGTAGAAGAGACATGAAGAAGAGGGGACACATGTTGATGAAGAAGAGACATGAAGAAGAGGGGACACATGTTGAATGTAGAAGAGACATGAAGAAGAGGGGACACATGTTGATGTAGAAGAGACATGAAGAAGAGGGGACACATGTTGATGTAGAAGAGACATGTAGAAGAGGGGACACATGTTGATGTAGAAGAGACATGTGTCTGTACATTTTATTTTGACATTGGTTGTGTGTTTATGTTTCCTTTAATAACCAGCAATGTATTTGAATTTATTTTTGTTTACAACATTTTTTTTAAATGATATTTTATTTAAATATGCAACATTTTATTTTGTATTTTTGTATCTGTATTAAAAAACATTTGTATTTTATTTATATATATTTACATTTATTTTTGAAATATTCAACGTTTTAATTTGTATATTTTTTGGTTTCTAAAAACAAAATCTTTATTTTTAAATATTGTTATTTTTTTAATACAACCAACATTTAATTTAGATTATTTTTTGAGTGTAGAACCAACATTTAATTTGATTAAAAAATATATTTAATATATTTTTGTATGTGTCTCTAAACAACCAACAGTTGCATGTTTATTCAGGTATACAAACACAATTGTATGACATTTATTTTGTGTGTGTTTTTGTTTATTTATACAACCAACAATGTATTTATATTTATTTTTGTGTCTGTATAAAACCAACATTTACTTTAGAATTGTTTTTGTATATATAAAACTCTATTTGTCTGTAACACAATATTTTATTTTATTTAAAATATATTGAATATATATTAGTTAGTCTGTGTACAACCAACATGTGCATGTGTCTATGCAGGAATACAAACGAAGAAGTGGGATTGACCGAGCGAGGAGGTGGAAATGACGAGAGGAAAGAAGAGGGACCAAAGAGAGGAACCGCGGCTGGGGGTGGCTATGCCTGGAACTGACCAGGGGGCCACGGCTGCTGAAGCAGCAGGAGACGAGACACAAGCAGTAGGAGACGCGAGACAAGCAGGGGGAGACGAGAGACAAGCAGGGGGAGATGAGAGACAGGCAGGGGGAGACGAGAGACAAGCAGGGGGAGATGAGAGACAAGCAGGAGGAGCAGCGTTTGCAGGCCGAGGAGGCGGACCCGGACCCACGAAGAGTCGACAGAACCTGGGTCGTGCTAGAGGCAGACCAACGCCTTACAACAGGCCAAAACAGCTTCCGGATAAGTGGCAGCACGACATGTTTGACAACGGCTTCAGCGGCCCCGCTGGAGGTGGCGGCGGTGAAAGCGGGTGGCTGACTGGTTGTCCCAAAGTCGAGACTTTTAAGACACTGTGCTTCCTGGGGAGAGGGGAAAGGAAATGTGACGAAGGTAACTTCGTCACTGTGAATTGATGGCTTCGGGCCTGGTAATTCAGCACATCCTCACTCCCAGGTCGGCCTATGTTGACGTTATGTCAGTCCCCTGTGTCTGCTTTTTCCAACGCAAGGGGGGGGGCCCTTAGCGTCCATTTTCAGCTTTCCGGGATGTCCATATGCTTCTATGGACGCTCATGGAAGCACGGCATTCGTTTGTGTCGGCTGCCCTTAAAGGCAATGTGAGCGTCCATTCTCATTGGATAACGGAGAATTGTACACCCGGAAGTAAGTA